TACGACTCATCATACGCCCTGACTAGCAATGGCCGGGTCTATAGTTGGGGCGAAAATTATTACGACGAGTTAGGACATTATACCACTGAACAAACAACAGATAAGGTTTATATCAATTTATATTTAATTGTTATTTTTCAAAAAAAAAGGATAGGGATGTTATTAGGTTAAGTTAATAATATATCTTGTATGACCATTTTTATTTAATAGGACAGCCCATTAATGAGGGAGATGGCCAATGATAAGATTAGCTATAATCTAATGGAACCAAAACTAGTCGCCCGGTTGACCGATATTGTCGATGTCTACAAATCTGTCGATAATAGAAAGTCATATTTTGTTGGCCGCGATGGCCGAGTATTTTGTTGCGGTTACTATCCGTTATCTCAGGCACACTATAACATCGACTACTTTCAAGAGGTACTGCATTTTGAGGACATACAGGACAGGTGGCACCTGAATAAACGCAATGTATTGAGATATATGGACAACAAATTGTTGATTACATACGACAACAAGTTTGTCACCATTGATGACAACCCGTCGGCGATTACGTCGACAATCTATAGCAATATAGTTTCAGTGTATTTAACTAAATGGCAGTTCACACATATGACCATTGATGTCGTCAATTGTCAACTGTATTATCAACAAAAAAAAAATAATAATAATAATCTGTTTGTTGATTCAGATTTTCTAAACGAATGTAAGAAATTTTGTAATTATTTTTTTTATTTAAATATTTTTTTTATGTCAATTTGATTATTATCTTATAGTCAAATATATCTACGAAATATGTATTGAAGACACCAATCGCTTCCATACAATATCATGGGATATCACTTGTCGACCGAAAGTAACTGGTATTGTACGCCATGTGATGAACCAATTGTATGGCATAGCAAATGATGTCGACAGCGATAGTGATAATAGTGATACAAATGATGACAGCGATGACAATAATGAAGATAATACTAACACTAATGATAATAACATAAGTGATGACTACATAACAAATGTCGATAATATCTACCGATACGATGGTTTTAAATATATTTATTGCAATAGACTATTACCCATAGATTTTGATGAACAGAATATTCTGGATCAGAATCAATGGTATCATGAATTGGATATTAAATACAATTACAGTGGTATTTATGACAAAGAAAATTTTTTCTATAATATTTTTATTATCGACTTTAATAATTCGGATAATATGAATAATTTACCGACAATTTTATCGCAAGATTTCTACGAAGTATTTAATGATTGTATGTTAATTGCATCTGTTTTTTAAATTTGAATTTAATTAATTAATTGTTAATATTGTTATTTTTATATTATGGCCCACATTCTCTATAATCTCAACAATTCAAAAATAAATGACAATTAAAATTGACAAATTGTTTAGCTATATTTCCCAATCATATTAATCGTATAAAAATTAAATATATATACTGGGCTCAGGTGGTTTTGGGATCGTTTATTTTGTTAAGCATCGACTAGGGGCTCAGGCAGTTGATAACTGGGCAATGAAAAAATTTTATATTAAAAGTTCGTATTATTATTATTAAAATTTATAAAAACAAATTTATTATAATATTTACATTTTTTATTTGTTATATTGTAGACTTTGATGAAACAAATAAATTTCGTGCACTAAATGAAGTGCAACTATTGGCCAAAATTCAATCAAAATATATTATCAAATATCGTAAATCGTTTGTCCAAAACCAACACCTTTACATATCAATGGATTATTATAAGTATAATCTAAAAAGTATTATACATCTAATGGCCAGTAATGTGTTTAAACGGCAAACACAGGAATCAATCAAATTTACAGAGTTTTTCATTTTATGGCAACTGTTTTGCCAATTACTCGATGCCGTCCACTATTTACACCAATTGTTGCCACCGATCATACATCGAGACATTAAACCGGAAAACATTATGATTGATAATCGCGACGCCGGTCTTAAATTAGGTGACTTTGGGTTAGCCTTTTTGTTGGAAAATATGAACGAAAAACAGTCAAATGCCGGCACACAACTATATATGGCACCCGAAGTAATTAGATTTGCCAGATATTCAATACAATCGGAGATATATAGTGTCGGCGTTACAGTTGAAAAGCTATTTGGTATCGTTATCAATAGGTATAAAATTTTAGACATTATTTAATATTTTTTTAATAATTTAATGTTAATTTATCGATAATTAATTAATTGATAGTTATTTTAATGTACTAATAAATTTATTATAAATAGTTTCAATTTAAGCAAAATGCATGAACTGTCACCGTATGACTTGCACCCACATATTGTATGGCTAATTTGCATTATAAAATCTATGTTCAAAGTGTTGCCATCAAAAAGACATACCAGTGCTGAGATAAAACAGGAGATGACAAAGTTGTCAACCGATTGGGTAAACATATTTAAAACTAATGTCAATGCCATGAATGATGTGATAACTCTACGGGAATCCAATTGCCGTATAATCAACAATGTTTTCGGTAGATATCTGAGACCAAAATATTTCTATAATCGTAATATAGAGTCTGATAATGAATAGGATTTGTCATTATTTTATCAATAAATTATAATTTTGAATTAATTAATTGCAAAACTCACACAAAATATATATTTTATGTTTTTAAAAACATTTTGGTTTTATCAAAATAATATTAATAATAATTAGTACATTCCCATTTTAATATGTTTTTATATGTTTAAAAAAATAACATATTTTTATCTTATCAAAATTACAAATAAAATTACAATTACAATACGATTATTTATTTTTACTCTCTCTCTCTCACTCACTCACTCACTCACTCACTCACTCACTCTCTCTCTCTCTCTCTCTCTCTCTCTCTCTCTCTCTCTCTCTCTCTCTCTCTCTCTCTCTCTCTMTCTCTCTCTCTCTCTTTCTTCTCTCACTCACACTCTCTTTAATTTAATACATAAATAATATATATTTATATTTAAATTAATTAATTATTAATAATTATAACAATCGCGAGACCCGTTGAAAAATTATTGAACATTATTGAAAAAATTCTATTAAGTCTCGCTCTAATACAAAACATGTGTTGCACGCGATTATAAACATTTTATTAATAATTCGTAAAATTAAATAGAAATAGAAAAATACTTAACGTATTTGAAATTGAAATTTAAAAATTACAGTTAACTTATAGAAAACTGAATTGTATTTCTTAACAAAAAAAAACCCGTAAACCAATATATAGATCCAGTACTGCATAATATCTGCACCTGTATTACCTTTGTATACAATGATGTTGATGAAGACATCATTGGCATTGATGATGACGATAGTATCGATGCTCATCATCATAAACATGGATAACACCGGTGCCGCCGCCGCCACCGTTGAGACATACAATCTGTTATGCAAACAGGCGACCATCGATGCCATAGCCTATGCAGAAGTACAGAAAATGTTTTGGATAACAAGCGGTTCCAACTTCTGGTATTTCAATTGCGATCCTGAATGCATGTTTCCCAAAAGTGTTAGCGATGGCGCGGTCATAGAGCTACCGACACAGATGCCCACTGTCGATGCGGCCGTTTATATTGATTCACAGACTACATGTCATAAATCGAAACAGACAGAGAACGGAAAGGGCATTAATGTTAACGAACATCGCATATGGACCGTACGGTTATGGGATAATGGGACACACAATTTGTTGCCCATGGAGGCTATGAGCAGCGGCAATCGATGGTCAATCGATAAACTACAAGATTATAGCAAAGAGCACTGTATATCGAAAGCCGATATCGAGTGGACAAGTGGCCAACCAGTGAACGCAATGTTCGCCGTCAACAATCTTTATCTGTACTTTTTGATGGGCGATAGACTGGCAATGGTTAACTGCAGCTATGTATGCATCGATCATATTCACGGCGAGGGAACCGGTATGCCATGGATACCGGTAAAGGATTGGCTACAAACTGATGAAAAGGTCTACAGTATGTTTACAATCAATAGCGCCGAACTGTTTGTCTTTTTCAAAGACTATTATCAGATCTATACTATCGATACAAAGACAGTCGATGATAACGGTTATGTAAATGTTAGCAAACGGGGCGACAAACTGGACATACATAAAGACTTCTTAAAGATTGAAAATCCGGTCGACTGTCCATCAAATACAACATCGGCTGAAAATAGTAGTATTAGTAGTAATGACAAAACTGATGGTCACTCGCAATCGGTAGCTGATAGTAAAGACGATGACAGTGGTGGCAGTATGGTCTGGCTATGGATTGTCATCGTTGTCATTGTTATTGTCGTAGTGTTGGTCGTCTGTTGTCTGGTGTTTTTGATGTCAAGAAAAAAGTCCAAATCCGGTGACAAACAACAGGACTCGGCGGCTATGAAAACACCAAAACAATCCCCTAAAACATCGGCCAAAAGCAGTGCCAGCAGTCCAGCCGCTCGTAAACTAGTCACCGGCGGTGCCAACAGTCCAAAATCAACCAAAAAATGAATTACTAAAAAATTTGGGCACACCATCATTAAACTACCGGTGCCATTCGCTTACTATCATTTTTTAAAAAGCTATCAATATTAGTATTATTATTTATGATTTACAATTGATTTAAAAAAATATTTATAATTTCTATATTATTTAATTTTATTAAATTCATAATTTCATAAAATAGTTTATAAATTAATTGTTTTTTTCAAATATAATTTCCATTACTATAAACAATAATAATATTTATATAATACAAACATTTTTTTTTACTTTATTAATGAAACTAATTAGATTAAATCATAAAGTTTATTAATCAAATTGGATATTATTGTATTATAAATAAAAATTATTAAATACTAATTTTATTTCTAGTAATTTCTAATTTAATAATTTTTAATTTTGTAATTTTGTTTGATGCACACCACAGGCGCGTGCATCACGTTTTTAATAGTTTAAAGAAAATAGACGCGATTTAAATGTGAATAAAATTTGAATTTCATGTATTTGATTGCATGTCTCACTTGTTGTGTGTGTATATTATTACATGATATTGTGCTACAACTACCTGTATATTGATTTATTTGTCAAATAAGTGGGGATTCATATGATTATAATGAAATCAAAAGATGAATTACCGAAAGCTATTGTAGATATGGGTTATAGTTTACAGAAAGAGATCGGAAAAGGCATGTATTCAACAATTTTTAAAGTAAAAAATAATGATAATAAACGACAAGATTTGGAGGACAAACAGTTAGTTTGTAAATGGATTGATGTCGAGTCAGCCCCCAAAATGTGGAAACAAAAGTGTATGAAATTAGAGTTAAAAGTATTGAAGAGAGTATTGCATCCATTCATTGTTAGGACCTATGATTTAATCAAAACACGAAACAGTGTCTTCATATTTATGGACTACTGTCCCAATGGTAGTGTCTATCAGGAACTTCATAAACAGGCAAAACCTTTTGCCGAGTCTTTGGCCAAAAGATGGTTCTCAAACATTTTGGGAGCTCTTGCCTATTGTCACTCGAAAGGCATAGCGCACAGGGATATCAAATTAGATAACTTTCTTCTCAACGAAGACATGGATGCATTGCTCACTGACTTTAGTTTTGCAACGTTAGCGAAGACCAATAAAGGAGAGCTAATGAAAGAGACAATGTGTGGACATCCGGCATATATGGCACCCGAAGTGTTTGCCGACACCCGATTCGGTCCGTACGACGCAAAGGCGGCCGATATGTACTCAATGGGTGTCTGTTTGTTTGAAATGCTTAACTTTGACAAACCGTTTGCCGTCTCGACCGACGCCTACAATAACCAGAGAGCACACGTCCAGAGACAACGCAATCGCGAGTATCGCTTCCATAGTAAAGTAGGAAAAAGATTATCGCCGCCTGTCATACAACTGGTCGACCAATTACTCGATCCAAATCCAAACACTCGCATCAGATCAGATGAAACACTTATTCACTCTGGTATTGTTGTCTACCAATAATTATTAATTACTTTAGTATAGATATGTGATGAATCACTGATGATAATTAAAAATTTCAATGTATTGAATATAGTTTAGTATAAAATTATTTTATTTATGTATAATGTTTTAATGAGTGTTTTTTATTTATTTATGTACTTTCAAGTTTTTGGTTGTATTAAAACAAACTTTGATTAAATTGGTTTTGATTTTTCAAAAAAAAAAAAATTAAATAATTACATCAAATGTAGCAGAAAATATCAATATAATAATACAAAAAATACAATAGTTTTGAACAAAAAAAAAATAATATTATCTAAACTTATTTTAATAACACCACTAACATTTAAAAAATTATAGACAATCAATAATATATTAATATATATTTATATATAGTTTTACAACTTATACTATTAATTAATATTATTATTATCTTAAATAATTAATAACATTAATCAAATTTAACTAAATGATTACAAATAATATACAGTATATTTCATAAAATCTCGGCTTTTTTTAACTGCTCATAAAAATCGGTAAATAAATCACAGGAAAAAAATAATTTTTAAAATTACTAAATAAGTATATAATAATTAATAATATGTATAATTAATTAAAAAAATTTAACTGTAAGCCCGCTATTCGGGTAAATAATTTCGGTTATTTTAGCGATGGTGGGGGCAATAGCAGTGATTTATGTGTAGAGCACATACACTACCCCTATTTTTTTCGGTTGGCATGTTTTCGGGCGGACTTTCAATGGTCGCGCTCACTATTAGGAATGGTGTGCTTATTATCATTGGAAAGTGTATATAAAAACCTTTCCAATGATATATATCACCCCTTTCTATATTTTTTATATTTAAAGTTATACCACTTTTAGTGATAGTAGTAAATAGCCGAGATTTTATGCAATATACTGTAGTATAATTATGCTATACAATTTTAATAATTTGTGATATGAGTTTATAATTATTATAATTATCTGTGTAATTAACATAATTAAAAAAACAAAACAAAATATTTGATTGTTTTTAAATTAATTAATTAATTGAAAAAAACACAAATAATTAATAAAAAATAATTCGTTGTATATTTGAAACCCAATGCAAAATTATATGCAAATAAAAAACTTTGATTTATCTATTATTATTAAATAATAAAAACAAAGTTGTGATTAAAAAAAATAAAAGTACTTTTCAGTTGAACCAAACAAACAAACAAATCCTAATAATTATGACAACAAAAAATTCAGTGCAGAAAAAAACACACAATTATTCACAACAATAATAATTATGAGATCAACTAAAGTTATGATAATTGTAACAATTAATTACTCGGGCAGTGATTCACAACAACACACACACACACAGACAATCACAGCGGCAGAGTTGCCGTATCTTTGATATACGATTGATGCGTGTCTTCGGTGACCAATAGTCTGGCGTAGACAGCGGTCAGTACGATAATTATGAACTGCATTGTGATGTCAAAGGCAGTCAATCGTAGCACACCGACAATCCAGCACACGGCCAGTGTCAATAGGGCGGCGCCATAGAGCAGACAGTGGACAAGACGTTCGCCGTAAACGGCAAACAATCCGAAACCTCTGGCTGCCACACCCAACAGAGCGCCAAAACCGGCTAACGCACGGGCCAACTGGTAGGCGTCGCGATTAGTCTGACCGGTTAGCTTTTCTTTAGCCTCCTTGGCCTCTAGTCGTTTGATATAAAGCGCGTAGGCCACCAATACGGACAGTATTGTGATACACGTGAGCACAAGTATAACGACTTTGAAGACCAGCACCGCTTGACGAAGCTTCATAGTTTGATAGCGGTCGTAGTAGACAGTTGTACGGCACCGGGTGGTAGATATTTAGTATCGGTCAGTATCTGCAGACGGTGGACGGCACGATAGTATGGACAGACATCAGTGGGGGTATGTTATTGTGCGTTATAATAGGCGCTGACAATAATAATAGAGACACCAACCAATGGAGACGTTATGCGATGCCCTCCGGCATATAGACTGTGCGTATTTTTGGGTACTGGTTTCTTTTTTTTAAATGCATAGTCAAGTGTTGGATGATGTGATAGAGAGAGAGAGGGGGGACAGTACTACTACTTTCACACACACATTCCTGGCACTACTGGTTTATGCAAAACAAGTCTATCCCACAAAATCTCTCTGAGAGCTGTAAATAACAGCCTGTATATCACTCCCTCACTACTACTACTACAAGCTTTACATAAACCAGATTTTTTTTTTATACATACAGGATGCCAATGGGAAACGGTCATAATTTTTATTGTTGGTTAGTATAACTGCACTAATACTGTACTAATGGGAGGATAGTTGTTATGTATTACATACAGTAGTTGTCATCATTGACTAGGAATTCCACTATATTTTTTTGTGGTTAGGTTTAAAGTTTATATACTTTTGTTAGTATTGTTAGAACAGTAACATATGTTATGGTCTCTTAAAAAAAAAATTACTGTCACTATATGTCAAGCTATGGCCAATGTTTATGAAAAAAAAACACATTAAAATAACTATTATTCCCCTCCATTGGTCCTAAACCAGTGATTTTTTCCAAACAATTTATTAAAAACATTTATTATTATTATTGTTATTAAATGACATAAAAAATACTTTTACTTATTTTTTTGGGTGATATATAATCTTTGAAAAAATACTTTCAATAATAATATTACCGGTAATTATAATCAAATAAAGACAACCAAAAATCATAGCACTTGAATATTTCGTACGAGACTAGTATTGTTTGGCCTAAACAGATCTCTGGCAATGCGGTCGATCTCATCGATGGCCAGCTGCGAGTGTATCTGAAGTATATCGTCAATAGTTGTCGAATAGATGTGTCTCAGCAATCGGTAAATTTCTTTCAGATGTTGTTCAACTGCGCCGATGACATCACTGTCTATGCCTCTTAACATTAGACACAACAACATTACTGCCGATCGTTTAACTTCGATATAGGGATCAGTTTTGAGTAGGGCTTCTACACAGGACATCAGTTCAACGATATAGGAATTCAGTGCGTGTTTGAGTGCACCGCAAAACTGGCCTAAATTCGATAGACTAGAGATCCTGATGGCCGGTGCCGATGATTTGACACCAGTAAGAAAACAGTGGATGTATTGTTTGGAGTAGTGGTGAGCAAATTCGCCGATAGATTTAGATAATCGCACCAATACTTCGCCCACTTTTATACGATCTTCAACTGGACGTTCATTATCTGTGAACTCCTGCGTCAAAACCGGAAGTACTTCATCGGTACACTTGATGGCCAATGTTGACAGTGTGTTAACTGCGGACAGGTATATGTATGACTCGCTGTCGTTAAGACACATCTGGACACAAATATATATATGTATACATATATAGTATATTAAAACTATTACCGGTAGCTAACAATGGGGATAGTCTATAGATCGCCACAAAAAAATTAATCTAACAAACCTTCAATGCATTAATCAATTGATTTCGGTTGTCCATCAATTGTCGATCGTTGGCGTAAATCAATCGTTTAAGTCTAATCAAGGCGTGAGCCCTGACGGGCATCAGTGGGTCATTGAGTTCAGTCATTGCCGTCTCGAACTCATTATCAACTGATTTGCCATCATTTTCCGCAAACAACTGGCAATTGTTTTCAAGCAATAGTAACTGTATTTTCATATCAGATGCCAACCGACGAGTGCTATCATCAAACCTCTCATTCCTTTGTAATAAATCCAAAGCTGGCGATAGTTGTTGTCTCAGTTGGTTCAAGTCTTCAGCTTTCAATTTGTTGCGTTCTTTAAGCAATATTTTCACGATTTGCAAACATATTGTCAGCGAATTCTGTTTCATTAATACAAAACTTTTTTCATTCTCTTCTCCGTCATCTTCCACACCATTGTCGGTGCGTTCATAAGAAACTGATTCCATGCGCTGTTCATCGGCCAGACGTTCAACGGTGTTAATCACATAACCGATTGCTTTTTGTGGATAATTATTGATAATTTGAAGTACGTCTTCCTGTATGGAATCTATAAGACAACAGGTTATTAGGGACGGCCTCTGGAACGACATCCTATCGATAAGTATTGAAAACAAATCCATTTTGAACTGATCGCCCAATTTTGCTAACAATTGCAAAACAAACTGCACAACACTATCGCACTGTTTGAGATCCAGTTCCCTGTCATCATCTACTCTATCATTAAGTTCAGGTTTGGTACAACTATTGCTAAAACTGGTATCAATCGAGTTAATAATCTTGTGCTGGTGTTGTACACCAATCGTACCATCAGTTGCCACACATTTCTTAAATTTTTTAATCAAATGGCAATTATTGTACAAAAGATTGTCCAATAGATAAACACTTTGTTTAACCGCAAGCATTATCTCAACCATAATGTTCATCAACAGTGTCTTGTAGTGCGATAGTGATTCTTCGAGAACGACACGACAGTAGAATAAATGCGGAACTATTGGCACAAACTTTTTCACATCGTATCTGTTGTTCAATAAATTATTGACAATATCTATGCCATTGTTTAATGTTAGTAAACCATTAGTTCCTTCAAATATATTGACTATTTTGTTGATAATTAATTCTTGTGTCAACTTTTTGTTTCTGTTCTCAAGACATGTCAGTATTATTGATCCAATTGTTTGATGATATTGATTGCAACTCAACAACAGTGTTCTTAATATTTGTCCACCAATAAGCTGGTAATAGTCACGCAATGAACAGTAGAGGACAGGTATAGCCGATACAATAGTACCGACGGCTTGATATCTCTGGTTAAGTGTTGTTTGTTTTTCGGATGTTTGATCGCAATCGATGACAGCATTGATGAGCGCCACGAGTCCCAAATCACAGGTCAAACATTGGGACAGACATCGGGAGATATCATTGTTGGCCCATTTGACGGCTTTACAGCGCGATAATAGTAACAGATTTCGAATTATTAGTGTCTGATCCATGGATGACAACAATGACATCAATTGGTCGTTAACCGTTTGTCTGTCATCAACTGAATCGCTGTCATTGCGTAGTGTCATCAATGAAGCCATTAGTGATGCCAAACAATCATCAATAAGTATCTTCGAAACAAATGATTTGGTTGTTAACAGTGCGGCCAACAATTGGGTCAATTGTCGGATAAATTCTCGAGAAATTTGTTTGCTATCAGATTGTTGTTCACTAAGACAATGGCTATCAATGGATATGAACAGGTGTTGGATCTGTTGGAAGTGTGGACTAATGTACGGTATGATTGTTATCGACACGAGTTTGATTACCGATAGCTTAATTGTCATATAATTGGGCGCCGATATCATCTCGCCATCACTTTGTGTGGCCGTGTCCAACAAGATTACGGCTTTAATCAGTTGGTCAATCAATTGCCACAAACGTCTTTTGAATTTGTTTTGACCATCATTATCATCATCACCGTTGATGGACATCGACGTCATCATTGCTAAACTAATATCTTCGGCAACGATTGAGTAGATATTGTTGAATTGGTCGTCCAATTGGCGGCACAATTGGCCAATTCGTTCGACAACATCATCAATGGTTTCATCAGTTGATGAGCTGTAGTTTTGGTCGTCATTTTTACGGTTACTGTTGGCAGCGGTGGTCATCAGTCGGGATATTGTCTTCAAATGGCCGCATACCTCTTGGACAATGTCCATCTTGTCGTCGGATGACTGATGAATCACTATCTAAGACATCAAACAAACACCAAATTACTTGTTGGTGTTGAGGACATCCCTCAAGAAGTTGTGACAGTTGTTGACTTCACTGTTGACTAACAATAAAAATATATCAAAACATTAGATATGTTTTTAAAACCAAAAACACAATAATAATGACAACACATGTGTTGTTATGACAGACAAACGTTCATAAAATACGTCGTAAACTAACTATAAGTATGGGGTCAACATTGTTATCAGTTCCCTATTAATGTTATATAAACCCATAGAAAAAGCAATTATAAATTTTATTGTTATTTCCAAACGTTGTTTATGTTATTAATAATAAAGAAAAATGTTTTAATCGCACGCTACTATACATTTATACAAGTTATGGGCGGAGCTTAACTAATAAATAATTATCAATTAGTGTGTATATGTTTGGGTAGTAATCTATGCACTGCATGTATGACTCGCTTAAACAAATGAATATAATATGTCTAAAGCGCATGCGCTGAAAATTGTATGGTTAGCGTTGCCATTGATTTGTGATTTCCTTTTCCTCTGAAACCTTGCTATCAGTCGGTGTCGACAAACATATATAAGTCATGGGTAAGTGTTTTAGTGGCCAAACACCGTACCGTCGGGTAGTTTCTACATAAGTGGACACTAAATAAATGCTTTTTTCTCGGTCTCTACTAATACAGGTAAACCTAAAGGACTCCGTACCGCACGTAAACATCGTAATCATCGCCGCGAACAGCGCTGGCACGACAAGGACTACAAGAAAGCACATTTGGGTATGTTTTGCGGCGACCAACCCGTAACTGGTCACTGACCGGTGTGTGTGTAACCACTTAGTGATTGCTATCAACTCGTGTTAACACTTGTCGGGCCACCACTGCATTTGTTACACACATCCATCCAAAAGACAACAACACGTGTTGTTTATAATTGTTTGACTAATTTGTTTGTGTCTCCCGATGACTATAGGCACCCGATGGAAGGCCAATCCGTTTGGTGGCGCTTCTCACGCCAAGGGTATTGTCCTGGAAAAGGTTGGCGTTGAAGCTAAACAGCCTAACTCGGCCATTCGTAAGTGTGTTCGGGTACAGCTGATCAAAAACGGCAAAAAGATTACGGCCTTTGTCCCACGGGATGGTTGTCTCAACTATATCGAAGAGAACGACGAAGTATTGGTGGCCGGTTTCGGTCGTAAGGGTCACGCTGTCGGTGATATTCCCGGCGTCCGATTCAAAATTGTCAAAGTGGCCAATGTCTCACTATTGGCATTGTATAAGGAGAAGAAAGAGCGGCCAAGAAGTTAAAGATTGATTGGTTCGCCGAAGAATTTATTGATCCATTCATTTAATTGATTTAATTATTATATATTAAAAATTGTAATAATAATAATAATAAAATGTTTTGAATTAATACATGTTTTTCGACTATAAGTTTTGTTTTATATCTGATTATTGATTAAACTGTTGTCAATGTGTTTATTATTATTAATAAGTGATTTAATTGTTTTGTTTGTCAGCTGAATAATTATTACTTTGATTTTAACTTGTTTTACCGGTAATACTATCTTTTTATTGATTATATAATATGGAAATATTGGTAATGAAATATTGGATCAGATTAGAGATCCAGAATCGCGATAATCCCCCCAAAAGAAAACCCGACCCGTAATTACTGTGTAGTCCACCCTCTATATAGTGATAATCATTTGATAACTTTAATCTACCTTGTTCAATTTAAATATTGCTATATATTTTTTTTGAAAATTATTACAGTAATATTTAAACATTAAGTTTCAGTTTATTTATTATTGATAATAATTAAGGTAATTTGTTTAATAAAAATTATTTTATTATATTGATGATACAGTCTAGTACTTTTATGTATTGATAATAAAACTTACCCCGGTACTAATAATAATTGGTATAAAAAAATTTTACAAATTTTTTGTTTGTTTCTATACATTAACATAGATTGTCATCAAATATTCTATAGATAAATACAATTTTTTTTTTAATAATAATTATAATAAAATATATATATTACACAATTAAATACAATTGTAAACTTTTCTAATAATATTAATATGTAATATTTATAAAAAAAAATCATATATCAAAAACAATTATCCTAATTTATCGGCTCTGTTTAGGAGGTACCTCCTTATCATCAAAAATAAATATATAGACAATAAATTGAACTTTGTTTTTGTTATATAAAAAATTGTACCTCAAAACAGCCACAAATCATATATTATTTTTTTTATAAGTTAGTTATGAATCATTACTTCCAGTAACTTATGATTACTATTTATTAGTATTTCAGTGAATTACGGTAATTGGCTTTTTTAAAAAAAGATAAAATTTAATTTTATAAATAACATAAATATATATTATCCTAAAAAACAAACAAACATTTTTTTCAGTGAATTATTGGCGGATTCGAGTGTATGACCATTTCGGTAGTGGCCGGCGACGATCGCAAATTTGACGGCAACGATGCGTGTATGATGGCTACCGTGTCATCTGTTTCGCTCATATTGTCACCGAATCTTTCGATGTCCTCTTCGATAATGAACAAGACTTTTGGCGTCGACATCGATATCTTCTGTAAGTTTTCGAGAGAAATAAAAATTATAATAAAACACTTTTAACAAAACATCAATTGATTTTCAACTACAAAATAAAGCAAAAATCTATAATACCTTAAGTTCTTCGACATAACTGAGCACAAAAAAATCGATGGCCAATGCGGTAATCCATTCGCATACTGTGGCCGCCAAATGCAATCCAAAAGCGCCGTCTTCGGGCTTCCAATTGGTCGGATCTTTGCCGTGAAAGTATCGCATAGCCCACGGACCGCATACACAGCTTACGGTGAACGTACAGGTCATTAGTGAAGACAAGGCGAGCCGAAAGTGTGCCATTTGTCGCGAGTTGACCAACGGATGCATAGCGTACGACATGATGGTCTGTAGCCAACAGTAAATGGCACCGAAACCAAAGGCCAGGGTTGCGCCGACCATATGTATCTTAAACAGTTCCAGTTCGCGAAAGTTAGCCACCATCGACAGGCCTACCGATGAGATCAGTCCGCAAATGAAAGCGATACGGTTGCGGCAAAATATTTTTGTCGACTCGGGTGTCAAATTGTCCCGATAGTATTGTTCAATTTGTTTGTAGCGTACGTATATTGTCACACCAACTGGCCATTAGAGATCGGAATTTGGTTAATAAGCGGTTTGGTAGGTGTGTGTGTAGGCGGGGGAGTATGGGCAGGGAATATATGTTTGGTATTAATAATTATTGTGTTTTTTCTTAATTGAATGGTGGGGTGGGTAGATGTGAATAACATACCTAAAAATGCACAAAAATTGAGAAGCTGTGCGAATAGGCTGGACTCGGGCACATGGGTACCAGTGTCCGATATGTATGGCAGCTCTACCTCTACGTGACCCAACAGTATGGCTATTATATATCTGTACAAAATTGATAAAGGTTAATATAAATAATGATTATTATAAATAAAACTTTTAAAAATAAATATAAATAATTTTCATCTCAGGGTATCTAATACCCTATAGATGATATTGTAATTTTACAATAGCCTAGAGTAGATACCCCGGGCCTATTACTACTACTACTACTACTACTACTACTACTTACGTTGTAATGAAAGTTGTCGGCAGTAATACAAACACCGCAAGTGGTATATAATGCAAGTTTGTCCAAACCATTGTTGTTTTTGCTGATGATGATGATAATTATGGTAATAATTATGTCCTCAAGATTAATATTTGATATCACAAACACATAAACCGATGCAACCGACTATAAACTTATGGGTATATCATAAATGCCAAAACAACTGATAACTATTATTAATAATAATAATAATTGGGTTTAAACTTTTATAAACAACTGTTTTAGACACAGACAGACACACTGGAGATAATATCAATTAAATTATTATTATTAATACATAGATTGCTATCAATTATCAATGCATTATACGGTTATATTAGATGATATTATTTGTTATAAATATTAATTAATTTATTACAATATATTATTCTGATATCACATATTAATAATTATAATCACATTTAATAAATTAACGCCTCATTAAAAAAACACAATATATTGTATTATTATTATTATTATTTTAGAGGTATTATTATTACTACACTATTTGACAATAATAATAATTATTATTTATTAAAATTAAGTGCAATGTTATTTACACATGTGTCTATATATCGTATATTAGTATTAAATTAATAGTAATTTTTAACATTATAAGCATTTAATTAATAAAATAATAAAATAAAATTTTTAACATTTAGCATGCATAGTATTACATTGTATTTAAAAACTGCATATAATAATAAATATACTGTACTATAGTAATAGACTTAATAACTATTATTAATTAATTAATTTTAACAGAAAATAACAACAATTATTTAATATACTGTATTGGAGATTCATCTAGGACAAATAATTATTAATATTCACATTTTTTTAATATATCAAATAATTTTTTTTTTGTTTAAATTAATAATCTAATAAATTACAGTGTATTTTGTTTGTTTGTTTGGGGAAAACACTCTCTCATTTAAAAAATCATATGATTTGCTGGGGGTTTGTAATACAGTATAAATGTAGTATTGTATGACTCAATCAATTGTTGATAGAAAAAAATATATATAAATAAATATTTTCAGACAACTTTCAATGAAAGTTTTCCTAAAAAATATTCATAAATAACGTCATTATTATCTAATGTTCGAAAATTTTTTGTTTTAGCTAGACAATTTTAGATAATAAAAAAATTTAAAACAGTTTCGATAACTTTCACACACAAATATTTAAAAATGTTTTAACAATAATTTAAAAACTTTAAAAAAAATTAAACACAAAACAAACAAACAAAAAATTGAAAAATAAAATCAAAAAAATAAAATCAATGAAAACTTGTGTCGACCTGAAACTATCGGCTCAGTTGTTTTGCCAGTTGAGCACATGGATCGGCTCGTTGTCCACTGGCCACAAGTTGGCCATCTATACGCTAATAGTGGCCATCATCTGGTTGACAACATTACTACTGGTCAGATCCGACTATTGGAAACGACCCGTCCGTTCATTGACTGCACTCATTTCATGGCAATCGTGGCGATCATTCATGAAAGCCATCATAAATAATACCAGTTTGACAGTGACAGTAGATCTATCTCCCGGTGCCCGTAATATAATACAAATCGGTATAAATGTTAAACTATTGAACGCATTAAAAGAGTCGACTGGACTGACTGACTGACTGACTAACTAACTAACTAATTGATTGATTAAAGAGTGATTTTGAGAGAAAAAACAAACAAAAAAGTTTAAATAAAAAAAAGATTTTTCACTATTTCATTGAAATTATAGTTATGATTAAAATATTGATCTCAAACACTATATGAAAAAATAATTACTAATTGAATTAATAAATCAAATTTTTAAAAAAAATATAGTCTATAATTAATTGAATATATTTAGCCAACAAAAAAACCAATTAATAATTTATAACTACGAAATTGTTTTATATTTGTTTTTATGTCTTAATTAAAACAATAATAATAATTCATTTGAAATATTTGTGGCAAATGTCACACTTGCCGCACGACTGACGTTTGCGGCGCCGGTAGACAAACAACAAGATAGCTAAGGCTATGATAACGGCCAGTACTATATAGATGAGGCCAATCATTGTATTACTGGCACCTCTGCCACCTCTGGAACCACCATCGCGTGACTGGACTCGCAAATTATCGCCAGTTGATGACTGCGAACGACTTGTGATCAATGATACGCTTTTCAGTTTAGGTGTCGACGACTTTTTGGTCAGTTGTTGACTGTTGTTCTCTTTGGACACTGTTTTCGGTACTGTTTTGTTGGCATCTTTGTTGTCCACTTTTGTCGCGACTTTTTTTGTTGTATCATTGAATATTGTTTTCGGTACCGTTTTGTTGACATCTTTGCTGTCCACTTTGACCGCAACTTTTTTGGTACTATCTTTGGACACTGTTTTCGGTACTATTTTGTTGGAATCTTTGTTGTCCACTTTGGCCGCGACTTTTTTTGTTGTATCATTGGATACTGTTTTCGGTACCGTTTTGTTGGCATCTTTGTTGTCCACTTTTGCCGCTACTTTTTTTGTATTATCTTTGGATTCTGTTTTCGGTACCGTTTTGTTGGTATCTTTGTTGTCCACTTTGGCCGCAACTTTTTTGGTACTATCTTTGGATACTGTTTTCGGTACCGTTTTGTTGGTATCTTTGTTGTCCACTTTTGCCGCTACTTTTTTTGTATTATCTTTGGATTCTGTTTTCGGTACCGTTTTGTTGGCATCTTTGTTGTCCACTTTTTTGGTACTATCTTTGGACGCCGTTTTCGATGCAGTCTTAGATGCATTACTGTCCACTTTGGCCACCACCGGTGGTTTTGGTGTAACATTTTTACCACTATCTTTAGACGTAGATTTTGATGCTGTCTTCTCGTCCGATTTGGTCACCGATATGGCCCGTACATACAAAATAGACAATTTGTCCGTAAAAGCAATCAAATGGATGCCGGGGCCCAACAAAAACTTTCTCTGTCCCGATTCGGCTGCATAGTAGTCGCCGGTCGGCTCTACGACAAACACAGGCATATCCAGTACGGCCAGCGAATTGGCTTCCAATAGCAGACAACCGTTGGCTCCGACAATAATTACGGCATCTTTGGACTGATTGGAGCCAATCTTAATGGTAATCTGTTTGTCCTTTGAATAGTTTTTGGGAACAGTCTGTTCAATGGCTACATCGCCGGACTTTTTCAGAGAAACAAAGCTACCGTTGGCCACCACTTTTAATACCTGTCCACAGTTGAGCCGTTTTTCGCCTTTACCGATATAGTATGACTTGTGTGGTACCACCTCATCTATGGTAGTCAACACCAGTTCCGACAGTACACCAGTGTGTATGTGCTTAGGCATAGTATCTTTGGCTGTAGTCGGTGTCTGAGCCGCCGCTGGTTTACCAACACCTTTGATCTGCAGATCCTTTAGATTCATAGACACCGGCATTTCGACCGGTTTACTACCTTTTCGCTCGGGATCGGGAATTGCCTTCACTTTAGCCATAATGTTGTTGTTATTGTTGTTATTATGATTTAGCCACCAGTGATGCTCAGGAATGGTATGACTCGATGGGAGAAAAAACTACAATATTTCTCACTTAAGACTGTTAACTGAAAAATTAGTTGTGTATCTATTTTTTCAATTTTTTTTGTAATTTTTATTATAAAATAGCTTTTATTTTTATGACAAAAAAATAAAAATAAAAAAAATAGAAATAATTTTTACAAACAAACAAACAAAAAACAAATAATTTGATGAATAAATTTAATAAAATCCTATGATATCTACTTTGGGATTGAATTAATGAAACAAACAAAAAAATCAATTTTAAAACTATTAATATCTATAACTTTAAAATTTTCAATAATGTTTGAAATTTTTAAAATATTTTTTACTGAAAAAAAATATTCAATCATCAATTGATCGGATCTAAACCAAATATCTTCGTCAATGACATCCAATCGTAGTGGTGGTGGTGGTGGTGGTGGTGGTCGTCGTCGTCGTAGTCGTCGTCGTCAACGGCAATTAAATAGGAGAGCACAGAAAGCCGAGTTCTGGCCACATGTCGTGGATCCACAATATCGGGATCACGTCATGAAAGAACAACAAGGAATGGCTAACTATAGGGACGACTTTGACGAGAATGTACATCCAATACCATATGGTATGGCACCGGGCAATAGGTTCAGTGATCTGTACGAATATGACGACACTACTCAACAATACAAACGCAAAAAAGGTCGACCCAATAAACCGGAATTGCGACCAATACAGGGACCGGCCAATTGGGATCAATTGTATCCAACCGATGATGATCAAGACTATTCGCAAACGAATCCAACTTCCAGTGCGTCGGGTTTGGCTCCAGAGGACCGAAGTCAGGAGAAGGCATCCAATAGTCAAAGTAGACGTCCTATTGAGCGGCAGTTAAGTGATAGAGCATTGAATGCTAATTTTTGTCCACATGTTGTGGATCCACAATATCGGGATCACATCGTGAAAGTACACCAAGGATTAGCTGACTATAGTAATGACTTTGACAAGAATGTAATTCAGGCACCATTTGGTACGGCAGCGGGTAATACGTTCAGTGATCTGTACGAATGGGACGATACTATTCAACAATATAAACGTAAAAAAGGTCGAATCAAAATTCCGAAGTGGCGACCAATTCAGGGACCGGCAAATTGGGATCAGTTGTGGCCAACCTATGATGATATCGGTCAAGACTATCTGAGACCGGATCCAACTCCCAATGCATCGAATGTGCCGCGACCTCTACATAGAGATCAGTTGAACTATTTGAAGAAATCGGGCGAAGCGTACGATAAATTAAAATTTATAAAAATGTTGGGCGAAGGAGGTTTCGGATCGGTCTGGGAGGTCAAAGCTCGCCATTGGGATGACAGTAAAAAACAATACAAAAATGTACGGTTGGCCGTTAAGATATTGCGATTGGATTCGTCAACAGGCAATAGACTAACATACGATATGCATTATCTTTTGCTCGACATGTATCAGCTTCGATACCTCAAACATCCATACATAGTGAAGTTCTACGACATTATTGGTATTCCCGATCAAGTGACCGGTTTTCCTTATGCCCGGTGCCTAATATTGATGGAACTGTGCAAAGGCGACGTTCATACTATGCTTGAAGAACAGCCGGATGAACGCATTGATGAACACCACACTCGCCATTTGATGTACTGTATGGCCAGTGCCGTACAGTATATGCACAGGCAACGGGTGGTCCACTTTGATATCAAACCGTTGAACATTTTTTTGCATCCACTGAGCAGTACCTACAAATTAGGTGATTTTGGACTGGCCGTTAGCTACGCGGACAATGTACCCATGGAGACCGATAGCAATTCAGGTACACCATTCTATCAGGCACCGGAATTAATGGATTATATGCCCGATCCAGTGGAGAGCCCTCCGTGCGATGTCTTCTCATTGGGCATGACTTTTATGCAATGTCTTTTTGGTTACGAACATATCGTAGAGGGAATGACTGAGTTGACGCCAGATATATATGTCTATCAAATCTCGTTACTCAATACACCCGATTGTTTATTATCTAATCCGCCGACACTGAGCGCCGAAGCCATCAATCTATTGCTGGCAATGACTGAACTTAATCCATCCGACAGATTTACCATTGATCAGGTAGTAAATGATGTTTGGTTACAATAATCAAACAAATTAGAAAACATTTGTCTTATAAATTATTTTATTATCCTTAACCCCCCCCCCCATTTATAAGTTTATAATAAGTTTATTACATACTATTTATTGTATAGATATTGTAATTAAGTGTCAAAAAAAATATTATATTAGAATATTTTGATTATTAATACAATATATATTTTTGGAAGAAATTTATATTATAGACAGCCGGTAGAAAATTATTTGCCCCAAACCCACCCCCACCCACCACCCAACCACTTCCTAACCTCATAATATACTAATGAATTTATTTAATAATCTATTAATATTAAAAATATGCTAAACTTGAATACTCCACGACATCTGACAACCACCCGGTCGTCTATCGGTGTCATCTCTATAATAATCGGTCCATTCATTGGCAATGGCACAGAGATTACGTGACGGTGCGCTACATTGGCCAATGTCGCCGTCGGGAAACCAATCAAAACACAATCTAGTGTTTAATAGCCAACCGGGCGAGTCGTTCGGTAGTAGCAAACGCCATGACATTTGACAACCACCCGGACGTATATCAGTGTCATCTCTATAGACATCAGTAAAATTACCGATTGGTGCACAAGTTTCAGCCGGGGCTCCGCCACCACACTGACCACTGTCGCCGTCGGGATGCCATCGAAAGCATATCTGAAGCTCATTGAACCAATCGGGTGCTCCTGTATCGGCAGTCAGACCCCATTTCATACGACAACCACCATCTCTTATATCAGTATCATCTCTATACCACTGTGTCTTTGAATTGACCTGGGCACATAGACTTTTTGATGGGCCACTACATTGATCGACATCACTACCATCGGCATACCATTCATAGCACAGTTTTGTACGATAAAACCAATCGGGAATTGTTATATACGACATCAATTCATTGCCTTAAATTATATTTGAATAATTTTTTTAAAAATGAAAATCTAATTTAGTATATAAAAAAACTTACCAAGATTAATCAAACTGTTATGATCGGGTATCGCCTGTTTCGCCATTGTATCGATTTGATTGATATATTGTTTAAGTTTTTCCGAACCACGATTACCCTGTAATAGATAATTATGAGCCAATCTGGACAAGTCATTCAAATAGGTCCGGTCCAGATAAATGCCAATCGCTTTTATTAGTCCATCGCGTTTGGGTCCCATTGGCATCAAATTGGTAATCGGTTCGAGTTTACCGCTAAACAACCAGGGATTGTTCGGTACTGTTTGCGACCATTGAAGCCATTGGCCGGGACTAACAAGATTTGTCGAACCGCCGTAATATAGTTCCACTGATTCAGAGTATTGACGAAATTCTTTGCTAATCTCTACTTGACTACCAGTGGTTCCGCCAATTAGTTTTAATGAATTAAAAAATGTATCATGGGCATTTTTTAATATTTCATTATCTGATAGTTTATTGCGTAATTCATTAGCAAAAAAATAATTAATTCTGTTAAAAGAAATTTTTAAAAAAAAATTATCAAAACAACAAAATATAGAATAAATTAATTAACTATTTTATTATATTATTATTTTATTTAAAAAAAAACTATCACTTACTTAAATACACCCCCAAAGTAGGCTTTGACTAGAAAATGTGTACCGAATTGTTCAATACATTCGTGAAAAGCGCTGGGATTGGCCTCATAGCTAATCGGCAAAAATTTGTCGACAAAACTAGTCATAGATTTACTTAAAGACAGTTCCCAATACGGCAATAGATCAGCTTCGTGAGTTAAAAAATGACTATAGATTTGACCAGTATATTTCGAAAAATTGGCCACTGGGTGCTGTAGACCGCCGGGCAATGAATCGATTATTTCAATTTGATCCGGCGTTTGGTAGACTTGGCCATCAGTTTTGGACCACAATTTGTTGGACAAACAGGTAAAATCAATTACCGATCGTTTGAAGCCATTGCCGTCGTTGGTGTTGTCCGATGGCAAAAACGATAGCTTAGTTATGTCAATGCCTCGACGTAATCTGTTAACTCCCGGTGCTAGATTAGAGCATTGTGATGATGATGATTTATGAACACTGGTTGTTACTAATAAAACTATGTTGAATAAGTAAATAGTTTGCATGATAAAGTTTATTGTTTAATATTTAATGAAATTTATTTATCAAAATATATATTTCACAATAATATATATTGCTTATATCTAACAATAACCTATAGCATTTTTCTCTTTAATACAAATTTTTAATTATATTATGAACCGAATATATAATTTATTTTACATTTATTTTTATACTATTTTGCAAAATAATTATATTATGTAATATATACTGTATATACTTATAAGTGATTAAATGATTATTCTATATAATTTTGTTATATTGAATTTGTATAATTTATTTCTGTTTAATATAAAAAAATAGTAAAATTATCATATGACTTATTTAATATATAAACGTTAAAAATTGATTAAATATTTAATTTCATAATAAGAAAAAAGATAATATATAAAAATTGGATTACAATTTATTATTGTTTTTTATTGAAATAATATTTTAATAAGTTACTAGTTTTTCCCACTAAATAATAATTTTGCAATTATTGCAATAAATATATAAAAAAAAATTTAAAAATATTTAATTAAATTAAATGAGATTATTCGGTTTAAGCAGGGAAATCTCGTTTTTAATAAATTTGAAAATATATCAATAGATCTATAAATTTATTAAATTATGGATATTGGGTGGGGGAAGGGGTCAAACAAACAAACAAAAATTAAAAACTGATTACTTAAAATGTTATCCTGATATTTTAATAATTGAACTTTGTTCAAGTTTCTCTTAATTGTTTGGAAACTATTTTAATTTAATCTATTAAAACATGTAATTAATGTTGAAGTGATTCAATAATATTTATTTCTACTTTTTCGTTATCTTGTTTCGTATTTTTTTATAATGTTATTGTTTTATCCAATGCAAAAAATTCTAAATTGTTTAATAGTATTTTAGATTTGATTTTAATTTTGTTTAATTACATTTAATTATTTAATGTAATTTTATTTTAATTTTGTTTTAAAAATTAGATTAAGTATAAAAAAAATTAATAACATTCTGAAATGCGTTAATTATAAACTTTATTTAGTTTACATATTAGTATATATATATTATCTATTTTTCAACACATACTTAACTTAACTGTTGAATTGATAAGATTTAATAAAAAATTATTTTTTAATATTATGTTTGTTATTATATTATCTGTAATTATAAATTGTATTAATAAAATGTTTGTCATTTTATAGTTAAACTTGCAAATAGTTTATATATAAGTATTTTTTTAATTGTATAGTATTCAATGATTTAATTAAAATTTAATCAATTTTTATTTTAAAACAATAAATAGTTTTAACCGATCAATATGTTGGTCCCACTTCTTGATCATTATTAACGGACTCACTATTGTAATCAAAACCTAATTTAAAAAAACAATACAATCTTAGACCAGAGTAAAGTTAAAATTAAGTTTTAATTAAGGAAATAAAATTTTATTATACATTTTTATTGTTATTTTATTATATTCATGAAATACTAATATAAATATATATATTAATATCTCAGGTTATTATCTCAATGTACTTAATTGATTGAAAATTAAAAAATAATTATCATTACCATTTGTTTAAGTAATTATTAAATATTGTTATAATGAATATGAATTTATTATTATTATTTACTTATGTAAATTAACTAAATATTTACTATATTAAATAAAAATAAACAACATATATGTAGTTATTAACAACTATTAACAACTATAAGTATAAAAATATAGTAATAACTTGATATTTTATTTAACATTGTTAATTTTAGTTTTATATTTTGAATATACAGTAATGCAATATTATGTTATATTTATAATTTTATTACAATAATATTACAAATTAATAATGTTAAAAATTTAATATAGTTTTTAAAATCTTAAATATTATTTTTAACATTATTATACAATTTATTTAATAATCTATTAATATTAAAAATATGCTAAACTTTAATACTCCACGACATCTGACAACCACCCGATCGTCTATCGGTGTCATCTCTATAATAAACAGTCCATTCATTGGCAATGGCACAGAGATTACGTGACGGTGCGCTACATTGGCCACCGTCGCCGTCGGGAAACCAATCAAAACACAATCTAGTGTTTAATAGCCAACCGGGCGAATCGTTCGGTAGTAACAAACGCCACGACATTTGACAACCACCGCCACGTCTATCGGTGTCGTCTCTATAGATAGCCGTAAATTGACCGACCGGTGCACAAGTTTCAGCCGGGGCTCCGCCACCACACTGGCCACTGTCGCCATCGGGATGCCATCGAAAGCATATCTGAAGCCCATTGAACCAATCGGGTGCTCCTGAATGGGCAGTCAGACCCCATTTCATACGACAACCACCAGCTCTTTTATCTGTATCGTCTCTATACCACTGTGTCTGTGAATTGACCTGGGCACATAGACTTCTCGATGGACCACTACATTGACCGGCATTATCATCGGCATACCATTCATAGCACAGTTTGGTATCGTAAAACCAGTTGGGAATTGTTATATACGACATCAATTCATTGCCTTAAATCATATTTAAATTATTAAATATTAAATTTAAGCCAATCGGCTAAACAATATGATGTATGTTATATTAGGTTATGTAGTTTAGCTTTTTTTAGGTAGTAGTTAGATTATATAGATTAGCTTCTATATTGTTGTTTGATTAAGTGTTATTAATTTTATTTTTAATTAATAATTTAGGTTTTATAGTATAAAATAATTAATAAAAATAATAGATAGAAATAAAAATAATTGTATGTCTCGTACATTTGTAATAATGGTAATGCTATTAATAGTACATTAAATTATGATATGAGGAACCATTATATTTCAACAACAAAAAAATCTAAATGTAATGTAAAACTTACCAAGATTAATCAAACTGTTATGATCGGGTATCGACTGATTAGCCATTGAATCGATTTGATTAATATATTGTCTAACTTTTTCCGAACCACGTTTGCCCTGAAACAGGTAACTGTAGGCCGATCTGGACAAGTCATCTAAGTAGGTCCGGTCCAGATAAATGCCAATCGCTTTTATTAGTCCATCGCGTTTGGGTCCCATTGGCATCAAATTGGTAATCGGTTCGAGTTTACCGCTAAACAACCAGGGATTGTTCGGTACTGTTTGCGACCATTGAAGCCATTGACCGGGACTAATAAGATTTGTCGAACCGCCGTAATATAATTCGGAAAATTCTGTAAACTGTCTAAACTTTTGGCTAATCTCTACTAAACTACCAGTGGTTCCGCCATTTAGTTTTAGGGCATTTAAAAATGTAGCATGGGCATCTATTTTAATTTCATTGTCCGATAGTTTATTGGTTAGTTCATTAGCAAAAACATAATTCACCCTGTTAAAAAAATCAACAAAAAACAAACAAAAAATTTAAATAATTTTAAATTAATTATTTTTCATAGAAAAAAAAACCAGAACCTCCTATAGTATTGTCAAAATTTATTATAATATACTGGTGTCAAACCAATAGAAAAATATAAACTAATAAAATTGTTTAAGAAAAACAATTTCAAATAATTTCAAAATTATGTTTTTTTTAAAAAAAACCAGTACTTACTTAAACACACCCCCGTAGTAGGCTTTGGCCATAAAATGTGTACCAAATTGGTTAATAAATTGGCGAAAAGCTGTCGGATTGGTCTCATAATTATTTGGTAAAAATTTTTCAACAAAACTAGTCATTGATTTACTAGAAGACAGTTCCCAATAGGGAAATAGGTCGGCTTCGTGCGATGAAAAGTGTCCATAGATTTCGGCCGTAAATTTTGATAAATTGGTTATTGTGTGCTGTTGGCGCCGGTAGTTATAACTGGCCGAAAACATACCGTTTAGTAAGTCGACACCGGCATCGTTAGCCATTGACTTTTTTATTTCCTCGTAATCTCTATATTTGCGTAACTTTGCGTCCAATAGTCCGCCGGGCAATGAATTGATTATTTCGATTTGATCGGGCATTTGATAGACTGCCGATGATGATGATTGACCATCAGTTCTGTACGGACTGATCCACGTTTTGTTGGACAAACAGGTAAAATCAATTACCGATCGTTTGAAGCCGCCGTCGTTTGACTTGTCCGATGGCAAAAACGATAGCTTAGTTATGTCAATGCCTCGCCGTAATCTGTTAACACCCGGTGCTAGATTAGAGCATTGTGTGGCTGTAAGTAAACCATAACCACCACTAGTTGTTAATAATAATAAAATTACAATTACTAAATAAAAAGTTAGCATAACTTTCATAATTAATTAATAAATACAGATATATTGTATTTTGTTTTCTTTGTTATTACTATTAATTGTTGTTAAACAAAAAATTAATAATTTATTTTTACTCTAAATTTACTTTTATATTTATACTTTTTTATATAAGATTTATATAATAATTTTTCTTGTTAATTATATTGTATAATATATATATACAGTATATACATAAATGATAAAAAACAATTACATCATTAGTTTTTTAATATATACTTTATAAATAGTTTTATTTATTAAAAGAGAAAATAAATAAAATTATCTCTCATATCTGTATAATATATTCAGTATATTATCAAATGCTATAAAATTGTTTATTATAATTATTAAAAACATTGATAGCATTTATATATATATCAATATACTGTATATAAATATATATTTTTTATGAGTCCAAAGATAAGTTGAATTTTATTTACTTTTAATTAACTAACAAAAGTTTATTTAATTTATTTAATAATTTTTAATAAGATTGTAATGTCTACAATTGGCATCAAATAAATTAATATATTTATTTATTGATAATTTATTATATTACTTATATAATCTGTATAATTATAAATGTTTTACAAAAAAAATATTACAAAAATAATTAGTTATCACTAAAATAATATTCATAGAGTATCATAATTGTTTTATAAATAATAATTTATTTAATATATTTATATTTTTTACAACAACAAAAATTAGATTAAATACTAAGTTAGCTAATATAGTAAAAAAAATTATAAACAAATAACAAATTATTAACAATACAAACAAACAAAAAATGATAACAATTTAGTAAAGTTTTATATACAGTAAATAATAAAAAAAATTTATACTAATAGACAAAACAATATATGAAAGGTTTGAGAGTTAATATCTTAAAAACTAATTTATTAATTTTTATACCGTTTTTAGTAAATGTAAAGTATATACTCTAGTTTTTATATATTCAAAAAATATTTCATTTAAAATTAAATTATAAGTATTACTATTAAAATATAATCTTAAAATATAAAAAGTAGTTTTTTTAATTATAGGGAAAAAATTACAACTAATAATCTTTGGTCTAACAATCTATCAGCTTTTGACGACAAAAATACATATTTATTTCTGATTAATATTTGGTTTGATTTTTAAAATAAAACTGCTATTATATGCTTAGCTTATGTATCAATAGTTATGGTATTTTTATAACCTAATAAATTACTATTTAATTAATAAACTTTTTAACAAAAAAAAATAATTTAACTGTATTTAAAATATTCTATATATTAGATATTTTTTTAATTAAAAATGTTAAAAACATTGCACTACTACTACTACTACTACTACTACACAGATTACTGAAGCCAGTGATCATTGACTACCTGATTGATATTAGGCCTGTTTCTAGGATTCTCCTCAGTCATAGCCATAATCAGTCGACACACATCATCGCTCAGTTGTGGCGGATTAGGTAACTGACAATCGGGTTGTCTGAGCTGAGGAATGTGTAAACGAAATTCATTTTGCTCCAGTATGTCATGGGATAGTAGACAGTGAACCATAGTTGCACCCAGGGAGTAGACATCGGTCGGCTGACACGAAACATTAGCGTTGCCAACTTCGGGTGCCATGTATTCGGCAGTTCCTACATAGTAGTTGCTGTGCATCATTGCCCGGTCTTTAGGAAAACATTCGGCTAAACCAAAATCGCCCAGTTTGTAGGCATTAGTGGCCCGATGATACATAATGTTGGCCGGTTTGATGTCCTGGTGTACTACCCGCATACTATGCAAATACTGTAGAGCACTGGCCACACACTGGACAACTCGTTTGCAATGTTGTTCGCCGATGCGTTGGTCGACCTGACTGTCAATAATGTGTTCGAGATCTTCGTCGCACAACTCCATCAGTACCAGACAGAAGGCATAGGGAAACCCGGTTTTCCGATCGGGAATACCAATACAATCGTCCAGTCGGGTAATATACGGATGATGTAGATACCGGAGCTGATGTATGTCGACCAACAATATATTGTAATCGTAGTGTAAATTACCGAAACCACGTAACACTAAAACTTTGCATGCATACCTATACCTGATATACCGGTTGTAATTAACTACCCATTTGCATTGACTAACCTTCCAAACAGTTCCATACATACCTTTACCGAGTTGTTTGTGAAATTTGATATTACCTTCCCTTTCTTTTAGATAATTGAGCGCAAAATCAGGCAATGGTCTATTCCTAGGTATTGGTTCTTCATAGTCTGTGCCTACATCGTCATACGTAGGCCAGAGCTGATCCCAATTGGCCGGTCCCTGTATCGGCAAATCTCTATGTTGAGCCGTAACCGCTTGTTTTTGCTTGTATCTACCGGCTCGGGCATCAAAATCATATAAATCATTGAACTCATAGCCTTTACCCACACCGTACGGATCGAGAAACCGGGGAAAGTTGTCTGTGTAATCGATACCATCATCTTTTCGGACATCTGCCAAATGAGACCTATATTCAGGATCGACTACATGTTCCGCTCGTGGCGGACGAACTTCAGGTGCATCAGAATAGTCATCTTTTTTTGCTTCCCACGGTGTTAGCCACAATTGATCCCAATTGGCCGGTCCCTGGACAGGCATATTGCTGACTTTGCCAATCGGATGCTTTCTGGGTCTAAACTGTTTCTTTACTTTATCCCATTTGTAGACCTTTTCAAACTGTCTGCCTTTTGCCACACCGTACGGATGTTTGAGATCTTTTGGATAATCTTCTACATAATCGACTTGTTTTCGTCTGTCTCTTAAATAATGGGCCCTATATTGTGGGTCGACTACATGTGCTGCAGGCGGCGGCTGTTTTCGATTTAAGGCGTTCCCCATTTTTGTCAAATATTTTTTTCTCTTAGATTTATTAATTCACTTTTTTGTTTGCAATAAAAATAATTCATTGTTTAAAATTAAAAATAAAATTACATAAAATTACTTAATTAATTATAACAATAAAAAAATTTTTAAAATCCAATACACGTTCTGCCGGATATTAAATCCATTGGTTTTTGACCCAAATTTGTTGTTTACCGTCGGGTTTCTGGGGTGTACAACCAGTGGCCAAGTGACCGAAATAGAAACTAATTTAATATACTATTTGTTTTTTATTATCTATATATTGTATAATTAATAATATTTTTTTTAATAAGTTATTGTTATTGAAATTTTTAAAAAAACATTACATCAAAATTAGTTATTATTATTAGTTAGTACATAATGGTTCACGAGTGGGGGGGGAAGTACTTTACCTAAAAAATTAATAATTTTGTCTTATCTATTGATATTTATTTTTGACGAAAATAATACATAAAATGAAATAAATGTTTGATATAGTTTTTAAAAAAACTGTTTTAAAAAAAGGTTACAGTAGTTATAATATTTTTTAATAGTTACTAAATTACTGTTTAATTAATTAACTATTTAACAACAAAATTATAATTTAGCTGTATATATGTTATATTAGATATTTTTGTTTGCATTGAATATATCAAAAACATTTTACTACTACTACTACTACTACTACACAAACTACTGAAGCCAGTGATCATTGACTACCTGATGGATAGTAGGCCTGTTAGTAGGATTCTCCTCAGTCATAGCCATAATCAGTCGACACACATCATCGCTCAGTTGTGGCGGATTAGGTAACTGACAATCAGATTGTCTGAGCTGAGGAATGTGTAAACGAAATTCATTTTGTTCCAGTATGTCATGGGTTAGTAGACAGTGAACCATAGTTGCACCCAGAGAGTAGACATCGGTCGGCTGACACGAAACATTAGCGTTGCCCACTTCGGGTGCCATGTATTCGGCAGTTCCTACATAGTAGTTGGTGTGCACCATTGCCCGGTCAACTGGAAAACATTCAGCCAACCCAAAATCACCCAATTTGTAGGCATCAGAAGCCCGATGATACATAATGTTTGCCGGATTGATGTCCTGGTGTACTACTCGCCTACGATGCAGATACTGTACAGCACTGGCCACACACTGGGCAACTCGTTTGCACTGTTGTTCGCCAATACGCTGGTCGACCTGACTGTCAATCATGTGTTCAAGATCTCCGTCACACAACTCCATCAGTACCAGACAGAAGGCATAGGGAAACCCGGTTTTCCGATCGGGAATACCTATAGTGTTGTCCAATCGTGTAATATACTGATGCCGTAGATACCGGAGCTGATGCATATCTACCATTAATATATTGTAATCGTAGTGTAAATTACCGAAACCGCGTAACAATAATACTTTGCATGCATACCAATACCTGATATGTCGGTTGTCTTTAACGATCCATTTGTCTGCACTAACCTTCCAAACTGTTCCGTACATACCTTTACCGAGTTGTTTGTGAAATTTAATCCTACCTTCTGTTTCTTTTAGATAATTAAGCGCAAAATCAGGCAATGGTTTCTTCTTGGGTATTAGCTCTTCATAGTCGGTGCCCACTTCGTCATATGTAGGCCAGAGCTGATCCCAATTGGCCGGTCCCATGACAGGCAAATCTTTATGCTGAGCCGTTACCGTTTGTTTTCGTTTGTATCTACCGGTTCGGGCATCAAAATCGTAGACATCATTGAATTCATAGCCTTTGCCCACACCGTACGGATCGAGAAACCGGGGAAAGTTGTCTCTATAATCAATACCATCATCTTTTCGGACATCTGCCAAATGAGACCGATATCGAGAATCGACTACATGTTCGACACTCGGCGGCCTAACTTCACGTTCATCAGAATAGTCATCTTTTTTTGCTTCCCACGGTGTTAGCCACAATTGATCCCAGTTTGCCGGTCCTTGGATTGGCATATTTCTGGCTCTGCCAGTCGGACGTGTTCTCGGTCTATACTGTTTGTCTTTGTCATCCCATTTGTAAACATTTTCAAACTGTCTGCCTTTTGCCATACCGTACGGATATTTGAGATCTTTTGGATAATATTCTCTATATTTGACTTGTTTTCGGCTGTCTCTCAGAAAATGTGTCCTATATTGTGGATCGACTACATGTTGACCACTAGACTCTTTTCGATTCAAAAGAGACCCGATTTTCTGGGAAATATTCATTTGGAAATTTCAAATTAATTTTGTTTTTCTAAATTTATTAATTCATTTTTGTGTTTACAAAAAAAAAACTTAACTTATTGTTTAAAAATAAAATTAAAAAAAATTGTTATTTATAACATTTTTTATTATTAAAACTGAAAAATCCAATATAGGTCTCCATTGTTTTTTTTTGTGACCCGAATTTGGGGTTTACCGACGGGTTTCTGGTTAACCGTGTTCAACCGATGATTAACAAACAACATAAACTATAATTTATAATTTAATCAATAATTATTTTTTTTAATTATAAAAAATGTTATACAAACTTATTAAAAACGATACATATAAATTATGTAATATTTAATAATACAGTATTTAAAATGAAAAAATCTTATATTAAATTTATTTTATTATAGAAAAAATAAAACATTCAATTAACTAAATTATTTAATTTTAGTTAACTAATTCAATTAAAAAAACACAATTAATAAATATTAATAATAATAAAATGAAAACATTTTATTTCAAGTTATTTACATCAGACAAACAAAATTTTTTAAACAAAAAAAAATTCAACAAAAAAATTAAACAAAACATTGAATAACATATATATATATCAAAACTATTTTTTTATATAATATATTAATCGCTATCGTAATCGCTATCATCTTTGGCCAGAATACCGATTCGGGTACCAATTAATCGGATTTTTTTAGTAAATTCTTCTTTAACCAAATTGAATGACATGGCTATCAGTGCCATACCAAACAACAAATACAGTGCACATATACCCAAAATAGTTTGGGCATCTTCGCGCGAAAAAACGGCAGTTCCCGGTACCAGATCACCGAAGCCGATGGTGGTCAGTGTTATGAACGAAAAGTATGAGGCGTCCAGAAATGTCCAGTTTTCGAGAAACTGGAACAGAAAACCGCCGCCACATATGTATCCAACTACCAGTGCCACACACAGAGCAATGGGAACGTTAGGTATACTACGGATTACCGAATCTGATTCAATACTGTCGTCCGAATAATATTCGCCATCGCTTTCATCGACTGTCGTCGCCACAGCCGTAGTAATGGCACCGGTAGATGATATACCAGGACTCAATCCTCCTCCTCTTTCAAAGCCTACTGAGTTATGGGACAGTTGTACAAAATTATTGCCTATCGGCGACGACAGTCCCATATTGTGAGGTAGTGTCGAATAGTTTAGTTTCATGAATGGATTAAACGGACCGTTAGTTTGTAGGTCAGTAGTACCGGTATCGTTAAATTCCGTGTCATGTAAGGCATATATGTTGCATATGATGGGAACGTTGGCTATGTCACGATCGCTGTGCGACCGGTGAGCCGGTCTATCTATGGTATGATGTCTTAGACTGTTAGCTCTGGGAAGTGTATTATACGCTGGAATTGTCGGCTGATGGGTGACTACCTGTTCGCTGACATTAGCTGACAGACTCTGTAGGGCTATCCGTTCGACGTGTTGTCGCTGTTTGCGGTGTCGCCGTCGTCGTCGCCGATGGTGTTGATGTCGATGCTTACGTGGATTGACACACAATATACAGCAAACCTTCCAATAGAGAAACTTAAACGAATTGGCCATAGCGTCGCCAATGTTGGACAGGAACAGTAGCATCAATGGTATGCCAACCAAAGCGTACAGTATTGTCACTATTTTGCCGATCCTATCGATAGGCGAGAAATATAATAATCCCGATCATACATCAAATCAAGAAAAAATAATAATAATAATAATAATAGAGAGAGAGAGAGAGAGAGAGAGAGAGAGAGAGAGGATGAAAAAACTAACATATACTGTAATTAACAATAGATTAGCAGCAGAGCACTGGTAGGTAGTGATGATGGAGTAGTATTTTTTGGCATTAATTCATATCGCATTCCCAATCAGTTTTGTTGTATTAATTTGTTGTATACATTGTAAATATAGTATTTTTAAAAATTTTCTATTGTTTATTGAAAAAAAATGCAAATGTTAGCTAATATATAATAGATGTTTAGCAAAATGCATATTTGTTTTGTATTATTGATATTATTATACTGTACTACTGTAATATACATTGAATGCATTACAACATTAATTAGCATACATTTAAAAAAAAACTAATAATATTTTGATTATATGCAAGATTATATTCAGTGCAAATCATTCAATTTAATATTAGTTATTAAATATTTTAATTAATATTTTTCAACAACAAAAAATAAATAAATAAACTAATTATGTTAAAAATCTATAATACAGTATATACATGATAATATATGTATATATATATGTATATATGATAGTAATGTATAAAATTATGTATTAACAAAAAAAAATATGCAGAGGTTATTAGTTTTTTTTAATAAGTATCATATCTTCAACAAATTTTAATTTATTTTTAAAAATTATTATTAATACTTAGTTTTTGGTGCAATATTTCCAAATCCAATAGTCGTTATAACAATTATAGAGTAGAGTAGAGCACCAAAAAAATTCCACTGCAATGACTTCTCATTGATTATATCATCTTTACCTGGATCATTTGTATTATTTTTTTATAAAAAAAATAGCAGAGTTAATTATTTTTTTTAATTTATAAAACTATAAATAACTATAATCTATAAATATAGCTAATTATTGCTAATTTTTTATTTTGCTAAGCTTATGCAAAAAATATATATCTATTTCTCTATAAAAAAAATAATTTGCAACTATTTTAAAACAACAACATATTTTACAACAATTTTAACCAATAAATTAGTTGTTTAATGTGTTTTAGTGTAAATTATAGTGAAATTTACTACATGTATGTTGTCTACTATATACAGTATGTATACAACTGTGAATTTTATATGGATAACTATAAATATTAATACTTAATAACAAAAAATACAGTACAGTATAATATAATATCAATAGTATATATATATATATATTTAAAATATCTATATATAAATCAATGGCAAGTTTTTATTATTAAAAAATTGCATTATAACTCCCTTTCCTCTCACTAAGCCATCATCAGAGCAGCAGCTCATGTATGCCAAACTCAAATGTCTTAATAATTGTAAAACATGTGATGAACAGGAAGTCTCATATCTGTGAATTGTATCTCAACAATGAAAAATAATTGAAGTTTTTTCCTAACACTTTAGTTTTGTGTCATTAAATTATATTAAATTTAAAAGATTTTATCATAAGATATCATTAATGTAAATGAATAATGAATTTATTATGATATTAATATTAAATTTAAAAAAAACTGTTTATTTTATTTTGAAAAATGCTATTTATATGTCATTAATTATCACTAATTTTTTTTGAAAAAATACTATTTGTATTCATTGCTAATATATATATATATCTTTCATAAAAAACAATAATGTTTAAATATCTTATGTTTTAGTACGTAAACCAAAAAAAAATAAGTAATAAAAATCTTAAGTTATTTTAAAAAATTTACTGAATTCACACAAAATATTTTAGTTGAAAAAAATACTAACAAAAATTTTTATATATGACTCTTAACAATAATGATGACAATAATAATAACAGATTTTAACAGATAATGGTAACCATTATATAAATACATAATATAATTATATAAATAATTGTATAAAAATATATATATATATATATAAATATACTGTATATAAATTACTAACTTTTTTTGAATAATTAGATAATTAGTTTTTTTCATTAATATTTATAATATATATTACAAAATAAATTCTAATTATCTAAATCTTATAATATTATAAAAAAATAATAGCTATTTAGTTTAAAAAAAAACATTTATATAAAAAAAACTTATTTGACATACCATCGTAACCATTGTATTTGAATGCCCGAACCAATGACTTCTCGAGCTTCTCCAGCTCGCGGGACACCTCATCGCTCCACTCTTTCTGTTTGAGTACCGAACTCTTCTGTGTTATAGTCCAGACCTGATCGGCAAAATCATCTCTTTCTTGGACAACAATACTCCGGTATTTGAGTTCGTTGGGCGCTTCCAGTGCCTGAAATACAAACGCACCGACCATTGAATAGCCGAATACCAGTGCGCACAGACCGATATGCGAAAAGATAAATGCGGTAATCGATCGGATATAATGACAACATTTGGTGAATCGGGATTCGTGGTGATGGTGTGCACGTGATGTTACCGGCATTTATAGGGGGGTTCACATCCAATAAATATAAAACAATATAAAAAACACTTAATAATAATGTTTTGTTGTTGTTGGTGTTGGTGTTGTTGAATATAATAGGAGTTAAATTAAATTAAAGTATATTATCATTTTTATATGAAAACAAAAAATAATAAAATTAGAAATAATAACCAAATATTATATATTTAATATATTGAAAAAATTTATTATACTGTATGTTTGCACTGAAATTATTATCATTATAATAAATTTTTTTCGATATTTAATAAAATTAATTAAATAATCACAAAATAAATTATTATTATTATTATTATTAGTATATAATATTATAAAAATAAGTTTATATATATATATATTTTAATTATATTACTTATTGTATCTCTTTTTTTAAATATAGCACTAGAAAATCTATAATACAAATTTACTCAAAAAAATTATTTTGTAGCAAATGTGTTATTATTTTAACAAAATAAATTATATACACACATTTGTACGGCACATATATACTATGATATAACCAGTATAATAGACCTCTTTTATTATTATTATTATTATATTTGAATCATTGAATACAACACAACAACAACAAAAAAAACGAGAGTTAAAGAAATCGTATTTTTTTAGTTAAACAAAAAATAAACAAAAAGTTTAAACCAATTTTTTTAGTATTTATTTTTTCTTATATAATCATTAACTCACTTAATGTTTTTTAGTGAATAAGCATTTAAGTTAATATATATTTGTATTTTTGAAAAAAAAACTTTTACACTTATAATACACTATATTTATATACGAAATTATTTTTTTTTTGAATGTAAAACACAAACTTTAATGTATTATAATTACACTAATATTATTACAGAATATTCTTAACGAATACTCTTTATATATATATATAATACTTAATAATCACTAATATGTCTCATGTCTTATATAAAGTGTCTTAAAATTTGTTTTATCTGATAATACTCTCTACTAATACTAGTATTGTGTTATTTATTTTGTGTGTATATATGTTTAATATGTCAGTGATTACCACTACCACCAAATTTTTTTTAATAGCACAGACATATAAAAAACAAACTATATTACCAGTGCTTGCTATAAGTGCTTAATATTATAATAATACCAGTGCTGTTGCCGACAATAATTGCTAATAATAGCGATTATAAAAATATAACTAATGTTGTGAAACAAGCTATTGAATTACTTGTATTAATACTTTTATTGTTTTAATTATACAAGTATTTTGTTTGTTGGCTTATATAATGGGTGACACTTTTTTTTATTGCCTCCGCTTTAATAACCATAAATAATTGACAATAGATTTGCATTTTATAATTATGATCTATTAATATACTTATATCATAAAACACTACAAAAAAACAAATTCAAAAATATTAAAAAATTGTTTATAAATAGCATAACTGTATAGCAAATATATAAATTTATACAGTATATTACATAATTGATAAACTAATGGTTTAAAAATTAAATTAAATTATTATAATAATGGTTTGTAATTTTCTTATTATTTTGTAATTTATTTATTTACTAATATTTAAAAAATAAATGTAAAACAAATATATTAAACCATAAAACATATATGACAAAAATATATTTAATATTATATAATCGATATATTATTTAATTAAATTATCAATATAATATTTTTTTTGTATAATTTTTCTATTATTATACATTTATTATTATTGTATTTGTATTTTTGTTTATTAACTATATTCAACCAATAAATGTAAAACAAATGATCTGATTAATAAGTTTTAACTAAATTTTTAATAATTAAATTAATATTTTTTTCATTAGAGTAAAATAATATCGGAAATCACAATGAAAAATAAAATAAAATTTAACTCAATAATAAATAATAGTCAATAGATTTATTTATTATAATTATTTAATGCAATAAATAAATTCTATATATATAACGGATTATCAATAATTTGATAACATTGAAAATTATTATATCATAGCAATATAGAAAATAATTATATGTTTAAAAATAAATATTTACTTTATTGATAAATAAGTCTAATACTTTAATTATACTAAATATGAAATAATAAATTTATAGAAATAAATTATTTTTCTAAATATATGTATTTAAAAAATCATTGTGTGCTTTTTAACAATTATTATCTAAAAATTTATATAATATATAATAAAAATATGATTTATTGTTTAATTTATACTGTATTTTAATAACTGTTAGATAAAAAAAAAGTTTTATATTTATAATATATATATTGTTGAAGACATCCATATGTCATTCAATTACCGATAATTTAAGATTAATATTTTGTATTTATTTCCTATTATAACTATTTCTATACATTGTATTAATACTTATATTTACACTTCATATTAATTTCGACCGTTAAATATCCTTTTACCTGTAATTCCTGGTCAGTGACACCAATCACTGGCACCTCACTGTCCAACACATCATCTATACAACCGTTTTATATTCAAACAGTCCAATGACTACCCTTCCCTCCAAACATTACCTGTATATCCAATGACTATAAATACAGTACAACTACTGTATTCATCAGTCAGTCAGTACACCAGTCAGTCAGTCAGTACATACCTCACAGTCAGTGCCACTATATCTCATATCTGAGCCCAGTCTCAGCCATTACTACTGTACTCATACCACATGTGCTATACATTTACATATTTTACCGATTCATATACCGATATTTTAACCATTGTTTTAATATACATTAAATTACAATAAAAGTGTTTCACTTATAACTTTGTTTAACTTCATTATCATTGTTGTCAAACCTCAAGAGTTCTACCGATTATTATACCGATTAGTATCGCCAACGCTTACCGATTGATAACTACTTACCGATAGTATTATCACTACCTGATTGTCGTGTGCAAGGATTTGGATCATCAATTGGCCACCACTTGGTTACCACAGCTGCACAGTGATCACACCTATCATCTGAGAAGTCCTCTAAAGACCTATTGGGTGATATCACTCCGTGTATCAGTAATTAACAGTCTAGTATTGGTCTCATACCGACCCACGCTGCATACCTGACCGGTTAATCATTACCGTGTATTGATTTACCGATAGTTAATTACCGGTATACAACAACAATAGGCACAGTCAGCTGGATTCATCAATAGATCCCTGACCGTGACACAACAATATATATAATATATTGTATAACTCTATTAATAATTAATTAATTCATAATAAGTATAGTAATAAAAACTTTACCACATATATAAATTTAATAATTTTTTGTTTGTATTAAAAGTCAACAAGCTCATTTACCATTATTGCCACACAAGTATTTTATCTATAAATAATATATTTTGTTTTTTTGTATCTCAAGTGTTTTGTTGCACCATTACCTATTAATATTGATTTTATTTGATAAAATTACATTTTTAGGAAAAAAACAATAGTATTATTTGGATATTATCAGTATTTAACTAATGTGTCTTATTGTATCTATGTACATTAATTAATTTTTTTGAGTGAAATAATACTAATAAATTATCAACTTGCATGCTAAATTATTGTGCAATTAATTAATTATTTTTTATATTGAACGAGATATATATAAATTTATAATTTATATTTTTATAAATTATAATTGACATATTGAAAACATAAATAATACAATATTATCCCTATACAAGTTCACATGTGTTGATAATTAATAATCTACTAAATATATACTGTATATTATATATATATATATAACTATTACTACTACTACTACTACTACTACTACTCCTACGATACTAAACTGTTTAACAATTATCATTTAATTTCATAGTTAATTGCACTGTATAAAATTATAATTGATAATCATAAATTATTTTATAAACATTTTTTTTATTTTTCCAGCATTATATAACCGAGAAAATAATATAACTGTTTGTTTTTTAGTAGCACATTGTTCAACAAAACACATACATCTAATTATAATTTTTAATTATTTATTAATTATTTATTTTATTATTTTAGTGCTTAATAATCGTAAATGTTGTAAATTTATATATATTAAAAATAATAATAAACAACAATAAAATAATTAATCTAGTCAATTAATAATATAAATATCGAAATAATTAATTAATATTGATTAAAATCATTTTAATATATATATAAATATTTATAAAATATTCATGAAAAATTATATATTCTATACTTTATATTATTATAAATACTTATAAATAGTATATCAAGTTATTTATTTAATTATTTTTTTGAAAAATTACCTCGATAAAAATACTAATAATGTCCGATCCCAATGGCCTGGACAGTGACGGCTATGTACGTAACTATTCAATAGCGGACATTGCATTTAATTTTCATCGGCTAACTCATGTCAATCAGCGTCTAAAACCGTTAGACAGTCCAATGTTTGAACCGGACAATAATGACTATCTAAACAGTTTGATAATGTTTGCAGTGTTACCAATCATACCGGTGCTCATCGTTATTGTAGTCTATATTATCACAACATTAGTTGTTTGTATTTGTTTCAGAAAACCATCTAAAAATAGACAAAGTATTTATTTATTTAAAATATATATATATTATTTACAATTACTGTAGTTATATACAGTATATTAAATAATAATTAAAATTAATTTTGGGGACTAAGTTGGGGACTAACTTATCAAGTTTTATTAATAATAATTTTTCTAAAACTTTGTTTTTATAAATATTTATAATTATAATAATTATTATTATCTGAAATTTATTATATAAATTATTTTTTTTTATTCTAATCCATTAGATATCAGTAAATCTTACAAAATTTTTATACTGATCTCAGCGGTCATTTGTGCCGTCAGTTTTATTGCCGGTCTGGTCGGCGTCGCCAACATGTTTACAGCCATCAAAGGAGTCAAATCGTCGTCCGGCGATGTCGTCCATTGGTTCGACGAAATCCGGTTCAACATAACCGACATTTTGACCGCATTCACTGAGATTGACAGTTCACTGGGAGATATTGATAACCAATTGAACGATGCTATCAAACAGCATATCCTACCGAAGCGTGACCTCCAGTATTATATAGAAATGTGTCAATCACTTAAGTTAATGACCGGCGATGCCATCGATGGCATACTACAGGCCAACAAAACTATTAGTAAGGCCGACATCAACTTTGTACCCGATATTGTCGACAAATCGGGTGCCATTATATGCGCAGTCATTTTGGCCTTATTGCTGCTACTGGCTATTGTTGCCGTATTTTATACCTATGCCTACTGTTCCCGTTGTCTACTAGGTTGTCTATTAGTATTGGTCATATTGGCCATCTTAGTAACCACTGCTTTGACAGGCATATCGTTGGCCTTGTCGGTCGGCGGTTCCGATTTTTGTATCGATTTCAAACCGTGGATCCGATCGTTGATCAACGACAAAGATGTTACGGATTATTTTGTCGACTGTGTGACCAGTGATCAGGTGACCCGTGACATAAAGATGGCTCGCGATCAGGTGGCAGAGGCTGTCAAACAAGAAGAAAAATTTGAGAAAATAATGGATTATTTTAAGAAGAATTGCGCAAATAATAGGTGCGGCCAAACACCATCTAAGGTCCAGCGCGATCTACAAGTGCTGGACACCCGATTGGGACAGATTGCTGTCCGATTGATGAATCTGATAGAGTTGGCTCAGTGTCGATACATCAATGGATTTATGAACGATGTATTGGACAATATCTGTACCAATGGTGTCAAAGGTGTAGTATTGATATTTTGCAATTCAGTCGTCGCACTCATTGGTTACACGGCTCTGGTTTTCGGGTCGACGCTTGCGTTGAGATAATCACCGGTAGTATACCGTATGTGTTGACTAATAAGTTATCTAATATTATATCAATAATACTATTGCTATCTAATTATTTAAATTAAAAATTATATAATCAATTATACTGTATTTAAATTGTGATAATTATGATTATTCAACGAAATATATATATATATATATATATATATATAATTTTATTGTACTTTTTTTTATTAATTTTTTAAAAATAATTTATTATTACTGTATTATTATTTTATATAATTAAAATTAAAATTAAATTATTTATAAATACATTAGTACTGTATATACACAGTCAAAATGTCTAAATATATATATAGATATTTTTGTTGGTAATTTTCTGATCATTTTATAGATAATAATTAAAATTTATTAATTTGACTATTTTTAAAAAATTAATAATTTTTGATAAGTTAGTTATTTATAATTTACTTTCATAAACAAAAAATAAATAAATATTTCAGTGAAAAAATTTATCATAAGTTATAATTATGATTGCAATATAAAAATGTGTGGAATTTTTTTTATATAAAAAATAGTTAATAATTTTTTATAATTATATAAATTGCTAATTATTAATTAATTTTAAAAAATACAATAACTATATAATTAGTTTCTATTAATAAATAACAATAAAAAAGCATTTATTAGTAATTAATTTCTAAATTTATAAACTATTTTTGTAATTAAAAAACATTAAATTTGTTAATAAATAACTGAAAATATAGTCAAAAACATATCATTAGATAACTAAATCATAAATAAAAACTATTTTCATATTCAATTTGTATTATAAATTACATATTATAAAAAAACAATAGATTTATATTTAATTTGTTATTACGTAATATAAATATATAAAAACACAGTTTGTTATTATCGATCACTAAATCAATCACATTTAACATTTCAATGTTAAGCACCTGTATGTCTCAATATATATTTTTTGAATGTGTTGTCTCACACGGCATGAGTCATACCTAATATTATCTCTCTATATATGACAACAATTTCAAGTACCGGTGCCGGTAATAATAAACAATATATATATAACAAATATTTATAATATATTTATGATAATTATTATTCTTTGGGAAATATAAACTTTTTCACTCGAAACTCATTGCACTCGACATTATGTATTTTCGTAGGCCTAACCCGAACCAAACTAATCGGCCGGCGGCTAAACTTAATTGTCTGCAGTGCACGACAAACATCTAGTGACCGGTCACTCAAAACGGTCCACTCGTTGTCACCCGACTTGACATCGACTACATAGCTATAGCCACGGCCGTCGTCATCCCATAGATAAAACTGAAACGAGTCGATCATTACCGGCTGATCCAGTGCTACAAGAATCGGCTTACTCGATGATATTTGTCGCGAATAGTATTTAATAGTATGGTGAAGATGATGTTGATTATTATGATCGGCATCACCACCATCAGCACCAGCATTACCACCACCACCACCGACAGCGATATCCTTATTCGAGTCGTGATATACACGTTGTTGAACTGAACTGCGGATCCAATACGGAGTGGTAATAAAGCCGTCGATACGTTCGATGGAATACTGTTTTCGATTATAGCAACAGCTGAACGACTGGATCGACTGAATGGCCACTTTGGTGGTCGCATCCATACGAAACTGATGAGTGCCAGACATGCGAAACATTTGGACAGTAAACGGCTGAAAGAACAGTCTCTGGTAGTTAGCGGTCGTGTATTTGGTAAAGTCGACCAACGGTTTCCATACGACACCGTCGGGCGAGTATTCGAGTCTATAGGAGAAACGGTCGCCACGTTTATCGGATAATTTTATTTCAACATAGTTAACGTTCAGCGGACACCCGAAACGCAACACAAATGGCCAATCGTTAACATTATTGTTGCTGCTGTTGTTGTTGCCGTCCAATTCATCGAAACTTTCGATGTCCATCGGTGACATCAAATCCATACTACTGCCCACCGAACCGGACACTATATCGAACCGAAACTGATCCCTACAGAGTTCGGTGTTCGGTGCGTACAGTCCTCGGTTGCGAATCGCTACCAAACTGTTTGTTTTATCCCACGTATCGACCACTGCCTTATCTTTCAGTATATCCATAATTTGCTTCTCCGGCACTAAACCACTGTTGAGTACAACATTCAACAGATCTTCGTATTTGATTAGCGATAGCCTAACACATTGGATCAGCTCTTGACGCTCAGACTCATCGAGTCGATGAAGATTATTGTCAACATAGTCTTTGGTTAGCAAAAAGAGATCGATTTCTTGAAGACGAAGCGAATCGCGGATCAAAAATGTTTTCAACGTTTGGACACTGATGTCGATAAAATAGTCGGCAGTACTGGTGGACAACAAGTCAGTACTGATTACTGTATCCAAATAGTCGAGACACAGTTGTTGACAATCGACTAGACATTCGGCCAGCGATGACTCCAACAGTAGCCACACGTTGTCCGGAGAGATATAGGACTTGATTTTGGCTAAAAACGGTTCCTCGAATCGGGCGAATTGGTATCGTTGGATAAGACCTGACAAACAAACAAAAACAAAAAAATGGATCAAATTGTTGATCAAAATCAATCAAATCAAACCCGACAACTGAAATCACTTACCGAAAACTCGAATAATGTCCGACTGGTCGGCCAACTCGTGCAGATCAAGTCGGCCGCAGTACGCGAGCTTCAAAAGCATTTTAAACACTTCCGGATCAGTTTCTTTCAGTTCAATCTCACGTTGACTCGACTCTAACATTTCCGACTCAAATAGTCGTTCAAAAAAATCTGATTGCGAGCCGAGTACCGACTTATGGCCGGCAATCGATTCGGTGTCTACTTTGATGGTAACATCGGAAAACTTTGTCGACAAATACAGTGACGAAAAGTTGGCAATAACAGCATCGGTCAGATTCATTACCGACTCGCAAATAGTGTGACCACCACTGCCACCACTACTACCACCACTGGTTGCCCGATAGTTGTGGCCGTTTTGTAGTTGGCCACAACCACTACCGCCGTCGATAAATCGGCGCTTTTTATTGCTATACATTTTTAATGTATTCCTTAGCATTGCATTCATATGAAAATGGACCAAAATTTTGCGCCAAAAATGCTATTATAAGCCATAGTATATAAGTGTCTGTAAATAATCACTGATTTATTTATAAAAAAAAAAAATAAAAACATTTAATTAATTAATATATTATTATTGTTTAAGTAAATTATTTAATTAAAAGTTTATTTTCAAAATTACCTTAAATTTGTTTCAATTAAGTAAAATAAAAATAAAAAGTTTGTATTAAATCAAATTAAATCAAATTTTTTTTTGTTAACAAAATAAACAAAAACAAAATGTTATATTAATTAATGATATCGTTATTTAATTATTAACAATTATTTTAGTAAACAATTAATTTAATTCATAAACTTTTTGTTTTGTTGTTATGATTTAATTATATTTTTTTAAATAATACAATAATAATCACTGTTTTTTGTTTTATGTTATAAATATTGCAATCGATTGCATACTATTGTAAAATACAAGTATAAAAAAAATAGTAAACAATTTATTTATAAACATTGAGTTATTTGATAATATTAGTACATATACTCCATGTTTAGTAGTCATAGATTTCTATAGAAATTTATAGATATACAGTCTATACTTATAAATAGAATTGACTAGTAATGTATACTGGTAGTATATTTTGTGGTTTTTAGGCTCCGCCCACATAGCGTTTAATATATTGTAACATTAATTACATCTATTATTTTATTACATTGTGTGTGTGTGTGTGTGTTGTATAACTTGTATTGACTGACATCTATTGTATTAATAATTTTAAAATGTTTTATAAAGTTAATAATAATTAGGCTATTATTTCAATGAATTATTATTAAATTTTATTATTATTATTAAATTATTCATTAAATTACTTTTTTCCATAAATACTAAATATTATTGAGTAAACTATTCATAAAAGTTTATTATTAACTATAATATACATTATAAATGGGTGAAAAAAATTAAAACTATATGTTTGTGTTTTAATAATACTGTACAGTATATTATTAATTATATCTAGTATATAACTGTTACTATACTAGTAAATTTTTCTAAATTAATATAAGTAAATAACTAGAAACTTCCAATGAAAACTTTAATAGTAGCAATTTTTTTAAAAAGATTTAAAGTTTAAAAACTATTGTATTAAAAAACTTAACATATAGTGTACTACTGTAATATACTTTAATGTTTTGAAAAAGTAACTTGAACTTTATTTTTAAAATTAAGTATTAATACTTAAAGTTATGATTTTTTTGTGTACTTATTATTTATTTATTAATTTAAAGTTCATATTAAATTTGTTTTATAAATAAATTTGATAAAAAAAATTGTTTGATATATGAGAAAAATTGACATTTAATTTTGGAAATTGTTTTTTTCCAATTAATAATTAGTATACAAAGTTAAGGAAAAAAATTGAATTCACTTAATACATTCACTTAATTCAATAATACATAATTTTTTTCCTATAAATAGAGATACAATATTTGCTTTTAAATACTAATAATGATTTAAATGGTTACTGAGTTTTTTTTCAAAGTCAATGAATTTCAATCATTGATTGAATTCATTTAAATCTGAAATTATTTGAAAGTTTATATATATATATATATATTTTTGTTGAACATTTTTTTTGTGTTTTCAACTATATAGTAAACTATGGGAATGCCAAGCGGTAGTCAACTATTAAGTGTTTCCGATCTATTAAAGAACCTTGATAACAATTGGCTGGACAAGATGACCGAAGAAATGTGGAAACGTGCCACTATGTTGATGTCGGTAAAGGTACGCTACCAGACCATTGGCCATCGGGATCGGGGTGGCAAAGAACAGGTAGTAATGGAACTGCAGGTAGAGATTACTGAATCACAGTACGAACTTTTGGTGTCGATGCCGAAAAAGTTAGAAGAAATTGGGGACCAAAATGATGCACACATACTGATCAAACCCAGCGACAACGGGTCGGACCGTCGGACAGTTATCATACGAGGTTCCGACCAAAACAAAAGCCAACTCTATATGGCGGTGACGGCTATTATGGATCTCATCAGATCTATTAACCACCAACTGATGAGTGGTTTGGCGGCGTCTAAACCGTCGATGAACTGAACCCTTAAAACTGATTTTTGACTGCTAAACAAAATTAATGGGATGTATATCTATATTAATATTTATCTATTTTTTTAATTTCATACATTTCTTATCTTTAATTTTTATAGTTTTTTAAATTATACACAAATATTTCGATTTAGCTTTTTCATATTTTTTTTTGAAAATTTCTTAGAGTTTTTTGAAGTGTATAAGTTTACATAATATATAAAAATTATATAAGAAATTATGTATGAAATTATTATGATATCTCTACATAAATATATAATTGAATAATTATTAATTAAATTAATATAATACTTATAACGTAAATTAAATTAGTCTTGTATTGAAAAATTACAAATAAATTAAATTTAAAAATAATTTTAGTACTTAATAAAATAAGTAACACAATGCTTAACCAAATCAATATAAAAATTACATTATAAAAGTTTACAATAAATAAAATTATAATTACATAATTTAATAATAAATAAATTCAAAATTATATAATTAAACCGAAAAACCCCGAGTCATCACCAATTGAGTCCCTCCTCCCGCTAATTGAGAGCACAGGTGCCGACAAATGATAACAATGCAAAACAAAAGGCTGCGACCACTGTATTGATTAATATAAAGTTCACAACTTTGACGGCATCGGTACAGACACTGTTGAGCGCACCATTAAGATCACCGTTCAGACTATTTACTATTAGCATTGCCAGGTAAATCAAAATATATATTGTTATCTTGACATTGAAATTTTTGGTATTTTAAATAATCAATTGGATATTACAGAATATTATTAATAATATTTGATATTAGCTATTAGATTGGATATTAATCAATTTGAATATTAATAATAATAATAATTATCATATAGTTTCAAGCTCAATTATTATTATTTTTTTGTTATATACGATTTAGATATTAAATTTTAAAATTTTGATCCTAGAATTGTATGTAATATACTGTAATTAATTTTGATTACAGTATATTTTTATATATTTTTTTTAACTAAACTAATTTCTATCGATTATATTTTAGTAAGTTTATATAATAATATAATAGATAATATTTTTTATATGTGTATTAAAAAATTTATTATTATTAAAAAAATCAATATTTCATTATCAAATACTATTAATATAAGTGTTAATTATTGTTTGACACGCGTTTTCAATACTTATATTACAAAATATCATACTTTAGATAAACTTGTTTAGCTATAGTTTTTTTGTTCTAATAATTACATTAAACCATATAATTAATAAAAATTATATTTTACTTAAAATCTAATAAATTTTTATATCAATTTTTTAAAAAAAAAATAATTTACTATGAAAAATATTATTATCATTATTTTCAAGGCTAATATAAATAAAAATTTATATGATATTAATAAAAATATATATATGAGTCACTTAACTAAATTAATTAATTAATTCGCTTTATTAAAGAATTCATAATATGATTAAATAAAAGCATAGCTTAGCATAAAATAATATTATTTGTGACATATATTAGATATACTGTGAGATATACAAAATCCTCAATTTATAACTATTAATAATTGAGACTTAATTTAATAATAATAATAATATAGACTATTATAAAATAATATAATTTCATAAAATACTGTATTTTAAAATTAAACAATAATCTATGATATCAAGTTAGAAATTTTTAGATAAATATTTAATAATATAATCATTAATAATCATAATTTCAAAGTTTAATGAAATCAATTTCTTGCAATGAGTTTTTAGTCTTCAATGTTTGATAAATGTATTTAATCTGATATCTACTTCTTTGGTCACTTGAAGTGATGATTATCTGAGATTTCAAAAGTCTTCTGCATATAAATAACAACCAATTAATGTTAGTTTTTGGACAAAATTGACTCCAATTTTTTCTAACAAAAAAAATATTATAATTAATATATAAAACTATAAAATGAAAATTATGATCATATACTTAGTTAGAGTAACCATTGATTTATAAGTCCTGTCCTGAGCCGACAATTTAGTTGTTGGCGTGAATACCATAACACTTGTTAAGTCTTTACAATAAACTGTATTATCTATTGATAGACTGTTAGTAATTTTTATTCATATATTTATATAAATTTAATAAAACCAATTGTAATCCTTGAAAAAGTTGTGTCAATTATAGTGGCTTTCAGTTCTCGACTCTCAACATAATAATGTTTGCAATTATGGATGAAATGAATTTTATCGCAATTAGTTTCACTAATTAATATATTTGAATCGTGAAGATCCCTGTGCTCAAAGTCAAACCTGGCCTCAGCCACAGCTAATCCTATGATGACTTGTCTTAAAACACTAAGCAATTGCTTTGCATTTATACTTTTATCCTTTAAATTAAAAAATGTTTTAATATTTGTTACATTTATTTTTTTTTTATTTAAAATAGATGTATAACTTCTATGACTTTCCATAGAGACAGTCCTCCAAATGTCATTATGATTACAGCATATTCATGAGCTATTGATTTATTATAAGTATTTAAAATTAATTAATTGTTTGCAATTATAAAAATTAATAGTTTAATAACTAATTTTCATAATACATACGAAATGTATTCAAATTATGAAAATTGTTTTTGATTTGCATTAACTCAACGTTGGGATTATCGATACACTAAAATATTGTGGTATTTGTCCGCAAACCAAATACTTTGATAAAACTCGAGGAAAACAATTGGTACTAAAGTCGACGGATGAAGAGTTTAAGAGTCGATAGAGTTCTGCATATAATTCAACATATATTTAAAAATTAGTTATATATTTGAAATAAAAAAATATATCTAATTTTTATGATATTAATTACTGGCTTATCTGAAATTCATTAAAGATATCTTCAAATGTAGTTATAGATCCCGACTCTGAATTGTCGAGTTGTTGTATTAGTTGACCACTTAAGGCACGAATCACTTTTAAGACAACCATTTGATTATTACTTTTGAATCAAATGCCTTAAATATTTCAGAGTAAGAGCCGTAATCAAAACGTATGACAATTAATATTATATATTAAATTATATATTTATATATTAATATTTTCAGATTTGTTATTCAAACCTTTTTTTGAAAACTTCATCAAATGTTTGAATTGATTGTTGATTACAAAAATTCAAGCAATAATTTACGATATTTATCCAATTGATTAGTTTTAATAAGTTTATTGATTACATTATACTTATTAATTAACTGTAATTTTTCAATATTTTCTGTTTGTTTCAAATTCTATACGCAATTAACATAACAATTATGTATTTAAAAAAAATTTCAATTTGTTTTATTTATACTTTACATTTTCATATGTGTAATCATAATTGAGTAATTTATATAAATTTTTGCAACCAACTAAACATTTTTGATGAGTTTAATCAATTTATTTTATTACAGTAAATATAATTTTAACCAATAAAGTAAAAAATTATTTAAAAAGTTTATTATTTGATTTAAATCTCGTGTAATTTATATTTATAAAAAACATTTTGTCGTCACAACTCATCAGATAGAGTAGAGATAATATTTACAGTAATTGTTAAAAAATTATGCTTTTTTGTTATAATTTTATAAATTTAATAATTGCTATTATATAATTGTATACTTTACAAGTAAAATAAATTGTTTTTTTTTAAAAATCTATTTTAATAAATAAATTTCAAAATTCTACAAATATAAAAAATGATAATATATTTTTGAATTTTAAAAAATCAATTATTTTTAAGTTTCTCTAAAAAAAATATGATTTACTATAAACTATAAATGCATTCAAGTCATCATTTTATTAATTTTGTTCGTATTTTACAGAAAACAAAACAAAATAAATACTAATTTATGGATCATTAGTGAAAACAGACATTTGATATCTTTTGAGGCCTTTTGCTGTTTAAGTGGTCTTTGATCCCGATTTGGATGGAGTGGTGGCGCCAGTCTTTGATCCGGCCGTCGAAGTAGCGGTTGTCGAACCGGGAGGCGCAGGCGGTGCACCAGTTTTTGAACCGCTAGCCGCTGCACCGGTAGCTGAACCGGGAGTAGCTCCAGTTTTTGAACCACTAGCCGCTGCACCGGTAGCTGAACCAGGAGTGGCACCTGTCTTGGAACCCGACGCACTTCGTGGGAGAGCAGGTGAAGTCGCAGAACCTACGGGTGCCGCTTGTGAACCCACTTTGGAGCCAGTCTTAGAGCCAGCTGTGGCTGATCCCGGAGCTGCTTTAGAGCCGACAGCCGATCCGGCCTTTGAACCAGCACTGGAATTAGCCACTTGTGATCCGGTCGCAGATCCAGTTTCAATGCAGAGCCTTTGGTTGAGCTAGCATTGGGTTGCAATGCACTTCTCTGCGATTTCATCGATGATAGGGTAGATCCGACATTCGAACCGCCCATTGAATTACCGGCTGATGACGATTGAGGCGATGTATTGCTGAACACTGAACCCGCACCGGTACCCGAAGTCGCCGACGCGGCCGACGCGGCAGACGTGGCCGACGGAGCGACCTTAGAGCCTGATTTCGACGGCGCCGCAGGCGGTCCTTCTTGAGGGGCAACCAATGGTTGTGCTGGTGGTTGCTCTCCCTGTTGAGAACCGGTCGGTTGCGCTGCAGCTTCTCCTTCGGCTGGCTGTCCCTCTTGAGGCTGTTCCTGAGGTGCTTCTTCTTGTCCTTTACCACAACAACCGCCCATAGCTATTGATTATTGTTTTTAGTCTTAAATTAATCACAATATAACTGTTCACTCAATGGATGGACCAAACAATTATGGTTTGTTCTCAAATATTTAACAGTATTAACGGTTCAACTACTTAACAATTTTCACTATTGATTTATATATTTTCAAAATTTAAATTATGTCTTTAATTGATATCAATTAATTTACTTCAACAAACAATTCGAGACTAATTCAATATTTTACTAACGAATTATATTCAAAAATTCAATTCAATTGAAAGTTTCTTATAAAATGACAAAACTAGTCTTAATACTAGTCTTAATACAATTGACAATTAATTTGTCATTATTAGCACCTGTATGTTGTGGACTAATTACAACTTTTCAATCAAATGTGACAATAATAGGATTCAATAAAGATAATATATTATCAGACAATTCATCGATTAAAATGACTATTAAATCACAAAATGTATTTTCTGAGCCATCAATTGATAAAATCAATAAAACATATATTAACTATTGTTATGTTAATTGTCGGACAAACATATCTAATGAATACAATTGTTATCAATGTTTTGACGCAAATAATAATCAATCAATTGATAGTTTTAATGCCTCGATATTCTGTTGCTTTCATTACAAACACATTGACTGCACATATAATTGTATCAATGATTTAGTCGATTGTGTCGATAATATCAACGTTAATAATAATAATAATAGTAATAATAAAAGTTATACTTTTAATATATGCAATCAATTAGCAAATGAACAGAAACATGACGTTGAAAGTGTCAATCAATACAATTGTTCCCAATTTTATGATATTTGTCTTAAACAAAATATTTTAATAATAGATAAAAATCCTGAAATTTCAATTAATCAAAAGTCAACCGATAAAGTGTCGACATTAGCATTGATTATAATAATATTGTCATCAATAGTTTGCTTATCATTTGGTTTAACTATATTTTTACACATTTTAAATAACGAAAGAAATTATTTCATTCAATCGCAAAACATTGCAAAAGAAAACATTTGATATTTTTTTTTTGAAAAATTATTTTAATTCTTTAGATTTTATTTTCTAAACCATTGTCCAAATGCCCAATAAATAATACAATAAACTTTTTAAATGTTATAAATAAAACATTATTTTTAATAATTATTGTTTATTATTGTAATAAATAATAATTGAATTTAATCTTTTTTTATACAACAATTGCAACAATATTTATAAACTATGCCTTAAATAGGATGGGATGGACCGGGTATTTGCCTATAGAAAAGTATGTAAGAGCCGGGTATGTCATCCCAATGCATCTCAAATTGCTTATGTATTTCTTCGTCATCATATGATGTATACCAATGGTCATCAACTTTACAATAGCAAACATAATGACCTTTCAGACAGGTGTGTCCCTTATGGGTGATCAATGCAAAGATGCTATAATCGAGTCCATCGATTGTAATTTGGGTTTCAATTGTCACTAAACTCGAGATTTTTTTTGCCGTCGTTCAAGAATCTCTTGAGTTGTATTACCAATATTTTTGGTGTCCGTCTAAAAGCCAACCGTTTTGTTGAACTACGTCTTGCAGCACATGTATGGCAAGTGGGCATCGAATCGCCAGTCAATTGTTCATCAGTGAAATAATAGCGAAGACAGTCAACAATAGTGATCTGATGGTCGACTTCTGGTATGGATATCGAGAGATATCCAAAATGTTTCGTAACAACAACTTTCATGTTTACAATAATTACATCTAACGGTTGACTTGAACTGACCAACAAATAAGTCGACCAAATATGAGTTGTCCACATATTTGTTATAGTAATTCCAGGCCTTATTACTATTGATTTGATTGTCTGTTTGTGTCTTAGGTTTTGTCTGAACTGTATTAATCTCGTCGTGTAATCCATTGATGAGATATCTAAGAAACTCCTGAGCGTCGTGTTGTTCCTTATCATGAAATTCAAGAATTAAATTCAGCAAAAGTTTGCCAAAAATTTATTGGATCAACACTTGTCTCATCAGTCATACTGTCCAACTCATGTAACAATTTCTTGAAACTTAAATGTAACGGTTTATTACAATTTATTTGAGATATGTGTTTTCTCAGCTCAGGTATGGCATGTAAAGCCTGAATAGAACTATTCATATAACAAGTATTTCCTAAATTATCGGAACAAATCTATATTATAGACAGCCAATAGAAAATTATTTGCCCCAAACCCACCCCCACCCACCCAACCACTTCCTAACCTCACACCCATCCCAAACTAACCTAACTAAAGAATAATTAATAATAAAACTAACATTTTATATATGTATAACTGCAGAAAATTCAATACTTTTTTTGCTGGCTGTCTATAATATAGATTTAAGCCCAAATTATATATAATTTACATAAAAATATTTTTATTTGAATTATTTTTTACTTTAGGTCTTACATTGTTGTCTCGTTATAACTAATTTATATATTTTTTATGTTTATGCTTAGCTTAAAGTAGTTTAGTGGTTATGCTGGACAACAATCTACATAAAGCAAAAACTATAACTAAACCAGTTGAGAATGCTAGAAAGCATTTCCATACGAACTCCTTATCCAAAGTAAACTTTACTCATGTGAGGTATCAAATAAATAAGTATAACAAAATAAACAACTATAGACATGTAGGGTATCAAATGATTCAGTATAACAAAATAAACTCAACTTTAGACATGTGGGGTATCAAATGATTCAGTATAACAAAATAAACTCAACTATAGACATGTAGGGTATCAAATGATTCAGTATAACAAAATAAACTCAACTATAGACATGTAGGGTATCAAATGATTCAGTATAACAAAATAAACTCAACTTTAGACATGTGGGGTATCAAATGATTCAGTATAACAAAATAAACTCAACTATAGACATGTAGGGTATCAAATGATTCAGTATAACAAAATAAACTCAACTATAGACATGTGGGGTATCAAATGATTCAGTATAACAAAATAAACTCAACTATAGACATGTGAGGTATCAAATGATTCAGTATAACAAAATAAACTCAACTATAGACATGTAGGGTATCAAATGATTCAGTATAACAAAATAAACTCAACTATAGWCATGTGRGGTATCAAATGATTCAGTATAACAAAATAAACTCAACTATAGWCAYGTGAGGTATYAAATGATTCAGTATAACAAAATAAACTCAACTATAGACATGTGAGGTATCAAATGATTCAGTATAACAAAATAAACTCAACTACAAGCCATTTTTCAATGTTCCCAAAGAGCTAACAAAATTTAAGTGCTGAATCCTTATACCTGTTTTTGATGCTTTATTCAAATTTATACTCAAAAATTTTGACCTAAATTTTTTTTACTTTGGCCGCCATTTTCTGTATGTTCCCAAAGAGATATCAAAATTTTAATGCACATTTCTTATGCTTGTTTTTGATGCTCTATTCAAATCTATATTTAATAAAAAAATTTCTAAAATTTTTTTACTTTGGCCGCCATTTTCTCTTTGTTCCCGAAGAGATATCAAAATTTTAATGCTGATCCCCTATACCTTATTTTTGATGCTTAATCCAAATCTGAAGTCAAAATTTAAAAATTCAATCAAATGCGGACGGACGGACGGGACATATATAATTCAGATACGTACTCCTTTCAGGAGTTCGTGAAAACACCATTTAATTGATATTTTCATTGTTTGCTTCAAACATTGTATATCTGTTGACTATATAATAATTATTAATTCAAATTAATCTAATGAAAGATAATTTATGAAATGCAATGACAAGTCGTACCATAAATTGTGTGAATTCAATGGCAGAGGAAGTGTTACACCTCTTATAATAGATTAAAACAATTGAACGACAAATTGGCATTTAATGATCAATCATCTGATCTGAAGAGTTATTATAATGAAAAACTGATTAATCAAAGGGATGTTTGCAAAAGACGACTGCAATGGACTTTTAGATGACTTGTTTGATGGCATACGAGTGCTTCATAATTATGGTATTACCGGTGATGAACACCATCTCATTATTGAAAGTCATTATTTGATGGCTAAAGAAGAGTAAATAAATACGTATTGAATTCATTATCGGAAAATAAATTACTGGAAATAAATGGATTAAATGCCAATTTAAACAATGAATGTCATAATAATTGCAATAAATTAGCGACAAAAAGTCGAAACTAAAAATTATTTATTAAGAGATAATATAAGAAAAATAGTGCAAAATTCAGGAAATATGAGACAAATTATACAAATTTCAAGAATACTCTTCAATTTGGTTCTCAAAACATTTGGTTTAAAAGATATTATATTGTTTTCTAACTTTTTTTTTGATTTTTAAATAAATAGTTCATTTCTATTAATTTAATAAACATTTATATTTATAAAATTTTAGTTAATTTATAAATTAAATTTATTGGTTATTGGAATAAGTTTTAGTGTTATAACTATACGTAATTTAATTAAAAATACATAATATATAAAATACAAAACATTATAATATTATTTATAGTTAATTAGTATTACACGAGACAAATATAAAAATTGAGATGAATTTAAAAATAATCATAAAATGTAAAATAGTGTATAAAATATTGTCCCAAAAAAATAACTTATTGTGGCAAAAATAAAAAACCAAATACAATATAAAAAGATAATAAAAGAGTATATGTCTGGAAAAAAGTCAAGAATCAGATTTTTTTTCCATAAATACTAAATATTATTGAGTAAACTATTCATAAAAGTTTATTATTAACTATAATATACATTATAAATGGGTGAAAAAAAAATTAAAACTATATGTTTGTGTTTTAATAATACTGTACAGTATATTATTAATTATATCCAGTATATAACTGTTACTATACTAGTAAATTTTTCTAAATTAATATAAGTAAATAACTAGAAATTTCCCATGATAATTTTAATAGTAGTAATTTTTTTAAAAAGATTTAAAGTTTAAAAACTATTGTATTAAAAAACTTAACATATAGTGTACTACTGTAATATACTTTAATGTTTTGAAAAAGTAACTTAAACTTTATTTTTAAAATTAAGTATTAATACTTAAAGTTATGGTTTTTTTGTGTACTTATTATTTATTTATTAATTTAAAGTTCATATTAAATTTGTTTTATAAATAAATTTGATAAAAAAATTGTTTGATATATGAGAAAAAATGACATTTAATTTTGGAAATTGTTTTTTTCCAATTAATAATTAGTATACAAAGTTAAGGAAAAAATTGAATTCTCTTAATATTCCTTAATTTTTTCCTATAAATAGAGATACAATATTTGCTTTTAAATACTAATAATGATTTAAATGGTTACTGAGTTTTTTTTTCAAAGTCAATGAATTTCAATCATTGATTGAATTCATTTATATCTGAAATTATTTGAGAGTTTATATATATATATTTTATTTTCAACTATATATTAGTAACTATATATAATAGTAAATTACGGGATGCCATACGTTAGTCAACTATTTAGTGTTTCCGATCTGCTAAAGAGCCTTGATAACGATTTGCTGGACGAGATGGCCAAAAATCTATGGAAATATGCCACTCTGTTTATGCCGACTGCGGTAAACTTACGCTACCAGACCATTGGCCATCGGGATCGGGGTGGCAAAGAACAGGTAGTAATGGAACTGCAGGTAGAGATTACTGAATCACAGTACGAACTGTTGGTTTCGATGCCGAAAAAGTTAGAAGAAATTGGGGACCAAAATGATGCACACATACTGATCAAACCCAGCGACAACGGGTCGGACCGTCGGACAGTTATCATACGAGGTTCCGACCAAAACAAAAGCCAACTCGATATGGCGGTGAAGGCTATTATGGATCTCATCAGATCTATTAACCACCAACTGATGAGTGGTTTGGCGGCGACTAAACCGTCGATGAACTGAACCCTTAAAACTGATTTTTGACTGTTAAACAAAATTAATGGGATGTATATATATATTAATATTTATCTATTTTTTTAAGTTCATACATTTCTTATCTTTAATTATTTTTATAGTTTTTTTTAAATTATACACAAATATTTCGATATTTAGTTTTTTCATATTTTTTTGAAAATTTCTTAGTGTTTTTTGAAGTCTAAGTTTACATAATATATAAAAATTATATAAGAAATTATGTATGAAATTATATTATATACATCTCTACATAAATATATAATTAATATTAATAATTAATATAATGGATATATTGTAAATTAAATTAATCTTGTATTGAAAAATTACAAATAAATTAAATTTAAAAATAATTTTAGTACTTATTTTATTAACACAATGCTTACGGTAACCAAACCAATATAAAAATACAATAAATAAAAATATGTAATTAAAAAACATAATAAATAATTTTTATTAAATTCAAAAATATGTAATTAAACCGAAAACCCCGAGTCATCACCAATTGAGTCCCTCCTCCCGCTAATTGAGAGCACACGTGCCGACAAATGATAACAATGCAAAACAAAAGGCTGCGACCACTGTATTGATTAATATAAAGGCCACACCTTTGACAGCATCGGTACAGACACTGTTGAGCGCACCATTAAGATCGCCGTTCAGACGCTCGCATTTGGCCAACTGATCAAAATTTGTCATCAATTGTTTTATTATACCAATCTGATTGTCCAGCTTTTTCAGATCCCTATCCAAATCGGCCGGTGTTGTACCGCAATCTACTGGTCCGCCAGTCTTGCAGGCCGTCTGGACGGCAGTGTTGAGTTGAGTGGACAGTTGACTCATTTCCTGTTCAGCTTTGTCCAACTGTAGTCGAGCTTTGGCCAAATCTTTGTCCACTTTATTTTCGCCGACACATTCAATTAGATAGTCGTTGACCAGTTCGTTGTTCATCTGGGATCTGATCCACGGTTTGGCGTCTATACAGAAATCGGATACACCGACTGCCGAAACTAGCGATGCGGAGACCAGTAGCGAGCAAAGTATCAGTGCTATGACTGCCAAAACTGTTAGACAACTTAACAGACATCGGGAACAACATATGCTAAATACGTAGAGCAGGCCGACAATGGCCAGTGACAACAGTATGGCCAGTACGACAATGATGAATATACGGCCGTATGTGTCCAGTGCTTTGGGAATAAAGTCGACATTTGCTTTGTCTATCGATTCACTGGCCGCCGATACCTGTGCTCTACTCGACGCTACATTAGATCTGATTGTCTGGCAATTGGTTTTATAGGTCCTGATAGCTTCGACACCGGTTTTATCGGCTATCAAATCGATACTATTCTCTAAACTAACAATAGTTGCCGAAACGTCCAGTGCTCTGGTCAACTCTTTGGTATTATCGCCGACTTCATCGAACCATTTGACGGCATCGTCAGTACTGTCGCGGACACCTTTGACAGCGTCGTACAGTTTCCAATCGCCGTACAGACCGCTGATAAAACTCAGACCACATATTAGGCCGAAAAGAAAGACAACTACTTTGTATTGTATTGGTATAGCTGTTGACAAACAAACAAAAAAAAATAGTTAATAATAATAATTAATTGATTAAATAATTTTCTAAATTGTAAAAATAGTTTTATAAAAATTTATTTTTAAATTTTTAAAATTATTATTTAATTAGTGCCTGTATGAGTCAATGCATTTAAATTATTAATTATATGGTCTATAAATATTATAATAATTTATATTGTAATCTATAATCATATAATTAATCAATATTAAAAAAAAATAATATACTGTATATTATAACTAGAGATTAAACTTTGATATTTGCATTTTTTCAAATTATCAATTGTTTAATACTTTTATTTACAATAAATAATATTAAGATATTATGATTAAATTAATACAGGTATAATACTGTTATAATCATTATTATATTTAAAAAATTGTTTTTAATACATTAGTTTATTAATGTGGTTGACAACAATATACAATAATAGTATGTATATGCTTTATTTACTGGAATCAAATCAAATTTATTATCAATTTTTATTATTAGTGATTTAACTAGAAATTAATATAAAAGTTATTATTATTTAAATAATTTATGTAACTATTGATTTTTGTTGTTGCTAATTTTTGTAAAACTATTTACTAGTAGCATTGCCAGGTAAATCAATTGGATATTACAGAATATTATTAATAATATTTGATATTAGCTATTAGATTAATATCCAATCAATTTGAATATTAATAATAATAATTATTATCATATAGTTTCAAGCTCAATTATTATTATTTTTTTGTTATATACGATTTAGATATTAAATTTTATAATTTTGATGCTAGAATTGTATGTAATATACTCTAATTAATTTTGATTACTGTATATTTTTTTAACTAAACTAATTTCTATCTATTATATTTTAGTAAGTTTATATAATAATATACAGTGACAGCAAACAAAATGGTAACGAGTTTGAAATAAATTTTAAGCTGAAATATATTATTTAAAAATATGAATTATATATCAAACTGTAATATATTTATTAAAAAACTGTTTTTTATATATATTGAGTATCATATAATGTCTGGTGTGTTGTTATCATTATCAGGAGTGGGTGACCCTTCCGCTACTTTTCCACTCAACAATATTCTTATTATATGATAATTTGAGATTTTAAAAAACTATGCATTGTAAAAAGTGTTAAATATATAATCAGTGATATGTATATTACTACAAAAAGATAAAAAATAGTCAAAAAATAATTTTTAACGCAAATAATATCGCTGGACATTAAGCCAGATCTGGTTAAATAGCAAGTTTACGCACTTAACGTTAAACATAGAGAACCCATTTACTAAAACTACGCCACAAAATTTGTATGAAAACTAATATAGTAAATAAAAGTATGAAAAAGTGGTCACCAATGACGAGGCATGAATTTTCATGTAAAATATCTACCGAATATAATGTATTTATTACCGAAAAAGATGATAACGAAATGATAACAATTGCAGTGGAAAACCGTCAAAACTTAGTGGAAGCGCTTTCCTCTATAAGATATACAGAATGCGCTATTTCTTATTAAAAAAATTATTATCTTATATTTAAACATATGGGCTATCATATTAAAATTATTAGAAATTTAAAATAAATTTAATATAATTGTTATTTAAGATCAAACTCGTTACCATTTTGTTTGCTGTCACTGTAATAGATAATATTTTTTATATGTGTATTAAAAAATTTATTATTGTTATTAAGAAAATCAATATTTCATTATAAATACTATTAATATAAGTGTTAATTAGTGTTTGACACGCGTTTTCAATACTTATATTACAAAATATAATACTTTAGATAAACTTGTTTAGCTATAGTTTTTTTAGTTCTAATAATTACATTAAACCATATAATTAATAAAAATTAATTTTACTTAAAATCTAATAAATTTTTATATCAATTTAAAAAAAATAATTTACTATGAAAAATATTATTATCATTATTTTCAAGGCTAATATAAATAAAAATTTATATGATATTAATAAAAATATATATGAGTCACTTAACTAAATTACTAAATTAATTAGCTTTATTATATGCGGGTGCATACAAATATTATTAAACATTACTAAAATATATATAAAAAAGTAGTTTAAATAATTTCAAGTTTAAATTTTGTCACTTAATTATATGTTAGATAAATTGATTGACTAATTAATTATTTGTCAATAATTAAAACAAACATTTATTACTTTATATAACTTTTTATATATAAATAATGTATCCAGGTTATTCTTAAATTAAATTTTTATTAAATACAATATTATCTACTATAATAATAACTAATAAATAAATTAAATTTACTTACTTTCACGCTTTTTGTTTGAACAACAACAACATGATATACAAGTCATCAGCAAATAGATGACCAAAATTATGATAAGCACTACAATAGGTATACCGGCAAATACGGCCAAACTGGTTAAATAGTCCTGACTGGTCGGATCAAATGTACTATTTTTAAGCACCTGTAGCTTATAGTTTAGATGGCGAAACTCGTGAAACCTGTAGGCCAGGTCCAGGATCTCATAGCCGCGACCGTTTTGTGTCATTATTATTAATTATTAATTAGTTATTTTAAATATTTTTAATTTACAATTAATATAATAATTATTATTATAATTTACTATTTTTTTAAGTATGAGTTGAGTTATGTTAATAGATTACACACATATAATTTACACAAAATTTGTTTAAAAAATTATTATTATTATAATAATTATTATTAATTTATAAAAATATTTTGAATTTAATTTTGTTGTTTTTGAACTTTAAATGTTGTGAAAACAATTATTAGTTTTTTTTTTTGGTTAAACAAGTTTCAAAATAATACTGATACTACTAATTATAATAAATAGTTAATCAAAATAATAATTATATAATGATAAAAAATAGTTTGGTTTAATTAACGTATATTTAAAAAATAATAATATTAAATTTAAAGACAATTGTTTGAATACTGATTCACTGATTTATATAAAACTATGTTTTGTAAGTTTCATTTATTTTTATTTAATTCAATAATAAAGAATTATTTACTGAATGTCTAGTTTATAATATAATGATAATATATGATGAGGATTAAATTGTTGGATATCACACAAACATGAAAAAAATATACATTTAATTTATTATATTATATGATTGAAATGTATATTAATATAAATAACTTTTAATTAAATATATAACTGTACTGTATATCTCTGTTGACAATAAATATTACAAACATAGGATAGAAAAATGTTATGTAAAAAAATATTACTGTATTTATATTAATAAATATTTCATAAAAACTATAAATATATACTATATATATACTGTATATATAGTTTAGATAATAATAATAATAAAAACTTTTACATTTCTAATGAATATAATATTTATCATAATAATAATAATAATAATAATAATAAATTAATACATTTATTTTGTTAATAACATTGTAAAACATATGAGTATATAATGCAGAGATGATAATAATAATACTGTAAAACATTTATTTGTGATTTCATTTTCAGATATCAATCACAATTGCATAGTGTATCCCAAAGCAACTGTTGCTGTCGTAATGATATTATTATTATTATTATACAGTATTAATAATAAATAGATATTTTTTATGTCTACAAAAAAACTATTGTTTTTTTGTGTTCATTTACACCACAGTTGCTGTTAATAAATATCAATACCCACTGTACCTGTAGATAGCAACTGTGTGTGTGTGTGTGTGTGTGTGTGTGTGTGTCTGTCTAACGTAGTATAATATACTTTATTTATTATTAATAGGTATAAATACTTTATTATTATTAAATATTTTTATTTTAATACTATATGATGATAATAGTAACAATATCCGTAATAATTAAAATAATAGTTTATCTCTCTATTATTTAATTTGACATTAATTATAAACTAGTATAAACGATATATAATTAATATATATATTTAAGAAAAAAATTAGTTAATTATAATTAGTATTTTAAATTTATTAAAAAATAAATTTTGAATAACTAATTTTTAAATAACTTTACTAGATTATTTTATTTTGGCATCACCATAAATATATATAATTTTTAAATTTATTATATCATAAATAATTCAAATATAGTATAATAAATTATTTTTCAATTTATTAATAATCTATAGTATATTACAAATGATAACAGAAAAAACTGTAAATTTTTTATTAATAAATTTTAAAAGTTAAAAAAATTTGATTTAATAATTAGAATTGAGTGGTATTCAGCTATTTTTTAAAAAAAAATTACTAATAAATAAATAAAATAAATAATTATTTATAACCAAAATTTAAAGTTTACAATAAAAGGGTTAACTTATTAATCAACTTTTTAAAAAATATATTTACTATAAAACACCTAATTATAATTATAGAATGTAAAGTTAAATTAGTTTTAAAAAAATAATTTAATAACTTTGCTTGTATAGTTTTTAAAAAAAAAAATATTTGTAAACTATTGTACTCTACTGTACTACAATAGTATATGATTATTATCACTAAAAAAAGTTTCATATTTATAGCGAAACACACTATTGTTTTATTTTATTTTTTCTAATTAATAATACCTGTATATTTGAAATACAGGTATTGTACTTCAAAGCTATGTTAAGCTTATCATAATTTATATCTATATAAATCATATGTAAAAAGTGAGTGATTAAGAGAGAGAGAGAGAGAGAGAGAGAGAGAGAGAGAGAGAGAGAGAGAGAGAGAGAGAGAGAGAGAGAGAGAGAGAGAGAGAGAGAGAGAGAGAGAGATTTAATATCAATGTTAATAAAGTATAAATTATTAATTACTAATACTAGTAGTGATGATAATCAAAATAAATTATTAATTTTTTTTCAACAATAAAATTAAGCAGAAAAATGACATTTCATATGTATATTGAATACAATTAATATTATTTTCCAAATTGCAATGCATTTCTACACTTATATTAAAATATTATACTTAATATTAGTTTACGTTTTTATGATATTTTAGTTCCGCTTTAATAAGTTTTATGAGACCTTTGATATCGACTTAATTGTAAATATAATTAACAACAAAAAAATTGTTTATAAATATTAGTTAAAGTGAATCAACTTTCTTATATGAACTCTCTCTCTCTCTCTTTCTCTCTCTCTCTCTTTCTCTTTCTCTTTCTCTTTCTCTCTTCTCTCTCTCTCTCTCTCTCTCTCTCTCTCTCTCATACATACATACAATGATAGATAAAAAAAAGATAAAATAAAATAATTGCCAAATCATATATAAAACATTGCAATGTTGAACTAAAAATATATTACATTAAAATCAACGACAATAACCATAATTTATTTATTTTTAAAAAAATGTATGAGTCATTGATATATAGATAACTAAAAAAAACTATTTCAGGTAAGTTATATAATAATTTATTAATGTTGTTAATAACCTGATAGTACTTATCAATTGAAGTTTTAATTTAATTAATTAATTATTTTTTTTGTGGTTATAGTCATCATTTTTTAGCATGCTCATATTATATAATAACTGATAAATAAATAAACTAATAAATAATAAAATATCCTATTTTTTATTTAAAAAAAACTTAAGTAATAACAACTTATGATTTACAATCAACAACAACAACAAAATATTTGTATTATGTAAGTGTTACTATGGATAAATAAAATTGGTACTAGGCAAATAATTTTATTTAGAAATAATCAAAATTAATCATATAGTTTGCTATATAAAAAAACAATATATAAATATTTATATAAATTTAAGATTTAATTAAACAATTCACACCTAATAAATAAATAAATATCTTATTATATATTTACATAGTATCACATGTTTTAATAATAATAATATTATATTTTATCATGATTAATTGCTAAAAACAGTAAATGACTATGTATAAATAAATAAATAAATAAATTTACTGTTTTTACAAAAATGATAAATGCAAATTATATATATAATCTTAACTAAATTTTGATTGTTAATTATAATAATATCAAATTTGATTTGATTATAGCAACTATAGGTAATAATTATAAAAAAAAATTTTTTTTTCCAGTATATGTATCCAAACCATACTTATACCGCCAACAACACTGAGGATGACTACCACTGCAACAGTAGTTCATTGAACAGGGATTCGAGTATTTTCACGAACTCCTGAAATGAGATCGTATATGAATTCTATAAGTCTGTCTATTTGTCTGTCTATTTGTCTGTCTATTTGTCTGTCTATTTGTCTGTCTATTTGTCTGTCTATTTGTCTGTCTATTTGTCTGTCTATTTGTCTGTCTATTTGTCTGTCTATTTGTCTGTCTATTTGTCTGTCTATTTGTCTGTCTATTTGTCTGTCTATTTGTCTGTCTATTTGTCTGTCTATTTGTCTGTCTATTTGTCTGTCTATTTGTCTGTCTATTTGTCTGTCTATTTGTCTGTCTATTTGTCTGTCTATTTGTCTGTCTATTTGTCTGTCTATTTGTCTGTCTATTTGTCTGTCTATTTGTCTGTCTATTTGTCTGTCTATTTGTCTGTCTGTCCGGTGTCCCACGAGGACATAGGTTCGAATCCACACTCTGCTACACATTTTTTTTATTTTTATTTTTTTCTTTCTTAAGTTAAGGAGTTCGTATGGAAATGCTTTTGAAGCATTCTCAACTGGTTTTTTTTTAATATAATAACATTAAAATGCAATGTATTGCTATCAGTGTGAGTATAGCACTGAATGCTAACTACACTGTCGATTGAAACATTGTTTTGCTATATATTAGCAAAAAATAAAATAATTTGCAGTACAGTAAGTGTCAACAAAATTAAATCAAAATTAATAAATATATTAACATTATATTTATATAAATTTTAATAAATTTGACAAATAGATAAATTTAAATCGTACATAAAAAATTCAAAAATAGTACTATATATACAGTATATTGTATTGTATACTATAAACTATTAACTAAATATTATAAAGGGTTAAAAAAATAATTTTATTAATAAAAGTTTATTTTTGAATGAATAATGTATTTGATTAACATTACTATACAGTGTATAATATACACTAAATTTATATTACACTGTATATTATACACTACGTAAAAAAGTTAAATTCAAAAATCTATCATGATCTGTGTTGGCAGAGACAAACAAATGTTTGTATAATACAATGTAAAATACATGACCAATTTTATTTACAAAAAAATTTAGCGCCACCTAGTGCTAAAAGCATTGATATAAGCTAAGTAAATCATGTTTTATAATAAATATAGATATCAATATTATTATTTTTTATTGAATTTCATTTTTTTCTTAATTTAAATTATTTGATTATTATAACTTAGAAAATAACGATTATTATAATAATAAATGCATTTTCTAGAAATTATATTTTTACTAAATATTATAAAATAAATAATTTTTTTTTGACATAATATACAGTATATTAGTTTTAAAATTTCTATAATACATGTACAGTACATTGTATTTTACTGTATTATATACAAAGTCAAAATTCAAAACCATGTATTTTTCCCAACCCTGATAACATCATAACATAGCCTATAGTATAGGCCCTATACTCACACTGATTGCTATATAATACCTGTATTTAGTCCTAAAACCTAACAAACCATTTAAAAGCAAAATATCTCTGTCTATATATATTAACACAAATATAATAATAGATTTAATCAAACAAAATGAGTGATAATTTTAATCAAACAATTGATTTAATGAAACAAATGGACCAAAAGATAATACAATTGAATGATTTAGAATTGGATTCATTTCGTCGACAATTACGTGAAGACAAAAACAATTTGATAAATGATTTTTGTGAAGAGTTGCTGATATCAGACAAATCAAAGATCAGACAAATCATTCAAAATGAAGACTTAATTAAACTATATTTCGATCGACTTCTTGTCTCTGATGGCAATACTGACCATCAAATGGATGACTATTTTTTGCGAACAAACGAGTCGTGTCAGCAATTGTTGGCCAAATTGTTGACATCGATGGCAACAATGGAGACAACAGCCGCCGCCGCCGCCGCCAACAACAACAACAACAACAACAACTTATCAACCGAACCGGTGGTCGACATCAAACACTCTACCGATTTGTTGGCCAAAGTTTTAAACGATTTTCAGACAATATCATCGAAATCGATGGCCGAAAATGATATCAAAATGTTTGAAGCGAAACAAATGATGAATAAATATGTTAACAAAGATCTCATGACATTTGATGATCACTTCAACTAAATCTTTCGTTTTCAAGTTTTCAACAATTTTAGTAATTATTTTGTTTTAATATATGAAATATATATTTGGTTTTTTTTAAAAACTTGTTTTTAATAGCAATTAAATTATATTTAAAAAATTCAAAAAATAATAGCAATTTTATATACAAATATTTTTTGCGTTATTCAACAAAAAAATAATAATATAATAATTAAACATATTTTTTTTAATTGAATAATAATAATATATTTTTAATAATAATTATTAACTAATAATTAAATTCCCATTAAATTAGCTAAAAAAAGCTATAAATTAAAACTTTTATTTAATTATCACTCTATTGTTAGTGCCATCTGTTATAACACATGTTATACACAGTATATAAACAAACAAAACATTAGATAACAAACACTGCAATCAAATTCAATATACAAAACAATGTTTGGTTGTCTGCGATCACTAATACTACCGACGACTGTATCGGCGACCAAAACAGCGGTCACTTGTTGTCTCAAGAGGCAGATTGTCGGCCATCGTAAACACTCGGCGTTGTTGATTGCCTGTTGCGGCCAACGCCGTCAGTTGACTAACGGCGGTTGGATCGGCGGCGACCAATACGAAGTGGTCGAACCGCACGAATGGACACCACATCGGCGACACTTTGCAGCCGATATTCAGCGGCCAGATTATGCCGATACGGGTGTGGTAGCTGCCAAAGATCCGAACGTTTTGATCAAATCGAAAGCCGAACTGATCGGTATCGCCGAAGCGTGCAAAGTGGCCAAAACTATACTCAACGAAGTTGGTCAACAATTAACGGTAAGCGGACAGCGTATGTGTAGTGTTTAGCATTGGATCAGCTCTCAAGACATTATTATTTTTTGTTTATTTGTTATGAATAGGTTGGCGTTACCGGCGAAGACATCGATGACATGGTTTACGAGTTGTGTAACAAATATTCTTTAATTGATTGTTTAAACTTAAATAAAAAAACATCACTTTCTAACTGATCCAATGACAGGTTATTATATTTATTTATTAATCAATTGTATTGATTGTCTTTAATTAGTCTTTGCCAAAAATATCGATGCTATCCATCGCCACTGAACTATAACGGCTTTCCAAAGTGTGTGACCACATCGGTAAACAATGTGGCCGTTCATGGTATACCCGATCGGCGGGAACTGGTGGCCGGCGATGTTATTACAGTTGATGTTAGTGTCTATTATAAAGGTATATAAATAAAGATTTTATTTTATTTTCCCGCTATTAATGTTATCTAATGATTGATTAACAGGTTTTCACGGAGACTGTGCCCATACGTACCCGATCGGCGACTATGTGTCGGACAGTACTTACCATTTGATAAACGTTGGCCAACTGGCACTGTACGAAGCTATCAACGTTTGCCGCGACGGTGTAAAACTATCGGCAATCGGGCGTACCATCGAATCGCTAGCTAAAGAGTACGGCTATTCGGTAATCGGCGATTTTTGCGGTCACGGCATTGGCCGCCAGCTGCACGAACTGCCGCAAGTGTTGCACATCGATCATCCATCTAGTTTTACCCTAAAAGAAAACATGTGTATAACTATCGAACCGGTTATTACCGAAGGTTCCGACAAAGTGGCCACCGATTCGCAAGATGGCTGGTCAGTGTTGACTGTAGACAATCGCCGTACCGTACAGTTCGAGCACACCATTTGTATTACACGAGACGGGGCTATCATTTTGACCGAAATTGATTGAAACTATTCATTGTCTTATATTTGTATATAAATTTGTTTGTTAGTTAAAACTATACTTTAATTATCAATGCATTCAATTTACAGTAGTTTTATATACACTATATTATTATTAATCATTAAATTAAAAAAATTAATTACCCTAAATGTATAATAACTTTTTTAGAGTCAATTTTTTAATAAATAATATATCATTATAAATTAATAATTAAATAAAAAATATTTTGTTTTGAAAGTTGTCATATATTTTAAATACTTTATATATTAAATATGATAATTATCAAGATGAATTTTCTAGACAGTAAAAAGTTAYCAAATTTTTGATATTATTATAATTCTCAGTTAATTAAAAATTTTATTTTATTAGTATTTTTTTTAGTTAATATCATATTTACAGTATTAAGCTGTATTATACACTATATAATGTATTTTATTAATTTATATATGATATATATATATATATATACTGTATATACAAATGTGTTTTTTTTGTACCATTTACCTTGATAGGCAATACAAGTTAAATTTAATAATAATAATTTTATCTAGCAACAAATATACAATGTATAATTAAAAAAAACACAATTTAAATGATAACATTACCGTATAAAATACTACTAGTATTTAAAAATTGCAAAAAAAAAATAATAATATAACAAATCATTTTTCTAGATTAATAACAATTTTAATATACCGTAATATACTGTATATATAAAAAAATAAATAGTAAACAAATTTAGATATCAATTGACTAGTTATGAGAGAGAAATTGAAAACAKATATATAATATATCAATTGACTAAACAAAATGAAATTTAAAAAAAACTACTAAATATTTATATTATAATATATATATATAGAAATAAATAAATTATTGGAATAATTATCAAGCTTATTTGTTTTTCTAATTAACTATATAAATTAATTTGATATACCGGTAATCAATATAAATCAAATTAAATGGACGCTAAAAGATAATAATAATAAAATATATTAATTTAATTTTTTTATGCATAAAAAATAAATTTCAACAAAAACAATTACCGGTACGGTAAATTAATTGTTAATAAATAAACTTGGAATATTTATTATTAGATTTATAAAATAATAATAATATTAATAAAAATCTATACGGGGCGAAAAACAAAATTCAAAAATATTAATAAAAATAAAGTGTAACAAAAAAACACTTTTTATCAAAAAGTCAAACAATAATCAATCATTCAATCATTGAATGATATGGAGAGTCATGCGTACAATAGGAAGGGTGAGAAGGTTAGGCGTCAGTCGGGTCGGGTAACTATCACATCACCATCACGTAGGACTCTGTGGAGCTTCGTTGACAAACCAACAGGCCGTCTGTTTGTCCAACAGTGTATGACAGACACCGCACACTTTGAATGGCCGGCTTTTTGGACCACTATAGATGACTTTGCTATTGCAATCCGTACAGAATACACGACCGCAATGACAACAATGTGACTACAATATTGAGTAAAAATAATGGTTAACCATCACGTYTAAGGAGGGGGGAAGTCGWGCATTTATTAGATAGGAGACGGGAGGTGGGGGCTGGGAGATAGACAACACAGACCTTTTCTTTTTTCGAGTGAAACTGTTTCTTACARGTATTACACTCGCCGACATCGTCCTCGTGTTGCCACCGAACTTCATTATCCGATTGTCGAATTTTTTCCAATTGGATCTAGTAATTGATTGTCGAATAAATAAGAAGATACATTAAGTTTTATTTAAAACCAACTGTCCATCAAACAGATAACCCAACAACAACAACAATACCTGTAACGATTGGGACAGTTTAACAAAATCCTTTTGAACCGCTTCACTATTGTCCAGTTCCTGTTGTAAGCTTTGGACACGATTTCTTAGATCACCATTATCTGACTCAAATTTTGTCTTTGTCATTGAAAAAAAATAAACACAACAATTAGTTCCCAATTGATCCCAACAAGAAAAAAATAGATGAGACATACCTTAGTGGCGTTGAGATCATTGATTTGTGCGGTCAACTCCTGAAGTTTCTGYTGAGTAGACTCCTTGTAGAGCTGGGAATCGCGTAACTCCCGATCCGATTGGTCACACCGTTGCCGCAGCTCATGRAGTTGTATCTCCAATGACTCTTTCGTAGACCTTAGCATATCATTCTCGTGGGACAACTCTTCTTCAAATCGATCTTTCGCTTCCTGTTCGCCGGCCATCTGTTCTTTAAGGAACAGTATYTCACTTTTTAGTGTCTCATCGTTACGCTCTTTGGCCACCAAAGTGGTGATCAGTTCTTCCCTGATCTTTAGCCACTGGAACTGCATTTCGCTAATATCTTGTGGCAAATCAATGGTCTCGTTCTGCAGTACTTGACTTTTGGCCACATGTTTGGCTAACAAATGTTCGTTGTCTTTCTGGAGGCGTTCCATTTCGCGGGTCGTTTCCTCCATCTGACCCATCAGATTGACAATAATATCGTTGGCCTCTTTGCGCAGTTCTGAGTGACTTTTGCTCAACAAATCGACATTTCGTTGACTTTCATCGAGTCTCAGACAAAGTTCGCGTATCTCTTTGTCATTGTTTTTCAAGTCTTCGTTAAACTTTTCCTCCAGTTCTGATCGAAAGTGTTGCTCTTTCTTCAGTTCGTCTCGTAGTCCACGAATGGTCTTTTCGTGAGCTTCGAGCTGAAGACTAATAACCACTTCGTTGTACTGCATCTCCTGTAGTTGAATCTCATAGTTGTTGCACATCTCACACGACATTTTCAGCTTCGGACCGGTTGTTGTTGTCGCCGACGATGCTATAGATATCATACTCTGAGTGTCGGCATTAATGGTACTATCGATAGACTATATGTAAATCGGAAAGACAAACAAGTATTGGATATCAGCTGACGATGACCTTTGAATATGACAACAACAAACCTCTTGTTGATGAATATGACTGTTGTCCTCATTATCACCACCACCATCACCACCGTCGCAGATGGTCTGCTGATTGGGGCCACAACTGTAGTCACTGCTGCTACTGCTGTCGGTAATGTCGTTCTTAACCGTAGCGGATATCATATCGATGTCGTCAGTAGCGATGTCATCGCTGGTTGTAGTGGTGGCGTCGGTGGCTATGATCGGGTCGTTTAGTGTCATCGAAATAGACCTTTTTCTTAGTCTAAGAGCGAGAGAGAGAGAGAGAGAGAGAACAAACCAATTATGATATACATATGTATAACAATCACTATCATCGACGCGTTAAGACATCGCTGACACTAACTTGTTGTCCAACACTGTCTCCGGTATGTTAGGCGTCGATCCCATTGTTTTTAACACTAATGTCTTGAATCGGTGGACATCTGTTGCTATAATCTATAAACGATATCTTCTTCTTATTCTTCTTGTAATTCTTCTTCTTTTTTTCTTCTTCAATGATTATTCTCATGCAAATCGGTTGGTAAACAAACTGATTGATTGATTATCTGTTTGTCTGTCTCTCACTTACTTACTTGAGATGTAGAAATCAATTACCACTTTAAGACACTTTAAGATTAATTATCAATAAAATTGTTTAAAACAATATATTTATTAATAAATAAATAAATATTATTATTATTATTATTATTATATCATTGCATATATAATATCGGATGACATTCACAAACAGTATTACATTATAGATATATAATATAAACAGTAAATTATTTTTTTATTAATAGCCAATCAGCGTACAGCATACATACATATTCATACTAAACGTTACCATAAATATAAAGTACATTTGATTTGTTGTACTTTATGTTTACTGTATTATTAGTATTAGTATTAAATAGTAGTATTTATTTTTAATATAAAAAGGGAACTAAATATACTGTATATATATAGTGTAATGTTGTTTGTGAATAGGTTTGACAAAATAAAAATTGTTATTTTATTTGAAATGTTTTGTGTTTTTGAATGACTGTTGTGTTTGTAATACATTTGATATAAACAGTGACCACTTTTTTTGTTTGTTTATAATCACCCGAACTAATGACCCGAACACCGGCCAAAGTGGTTTCGTCGCCTGCAGGTGGGCCGAAATGGACACCGACTGGTGCCCGTGCGTTGGCCCGCAAGTCAATTGGCGGTCGATCGAGTAGTGGCGCCAAAAAACGTAAACAACAAAAGCCTGGCCGCCGGGTCGATGCCGACGGCAATCCGCTACCGGCAGTGGCATCGGGTCGAGCACATAGACGATACCGGCCGGGAACAGTGGCCTTGCGCGAGATTAGACGCTTTCAGGCCACCACTGATCTGCTGATGCGAAAGTTACCGTTTGCCCGATTGGTACGCGAAGTACTACAGGACATGTATCCGTCGAATCCGATTCGCTGGCAGTTGCGGGCATTGTTGGCCCTACAGGAAGCCTCCGAAGCCTATCTGATTGGTATGTTTGAGGACACCAATCTGGTGGCCATCAATGCCAAACGTGTTACAATTATGCCACGCGATATCCGAGTCGTACGCCGTATTCGCGGTGTCGGCGATCCCGGCAACCGATAGACGTGGTGGCCAACGGTGCTGCCGATTGGCGGGTTTATCACCAATAAATACATCGAATAATTGTTTTATTGATTTATATATTAATAATTGATCGATAATTTTCATTCACCTTTGATTTGATTTAATTAATTCATTTTTAATTATTATTTAATGCAATTATTTTATTTTAATTTTTTTAAATCATATATATATTTCTATAATTAAATTTCTATACAATTGTATAATAGTTTTTCAATTATAATAATACTAATTATATAAATTTAATATAATATCCGGTCATAGCCTCAGACACCAGTGTGTTTAGGCAGTAGTGGACAGATAATGTTGGCCAGCGTCGGGCTTTTTCTGCGGTGTCCGACTGCTGCCAGCGGCTGCCGCCGATTTGTTGTTCTTATCGGATGTGCTGTCGTGTCGGATACTGCCGCGTCGGCCACGACTACCGATACTACGTTGACTATCGGAACGATCGCGGCGTTGTTGTTGATAACTTCGTTGACTGTCTGAGCGACCGTAACGTTGATAACTTTGTTGACTATCTGAACGATCGTAACGCTGTTGTTGATAACTTCGTTGACTGTCTGAGCGATGACGGTCATAACCACTACTGCCGCCGCCGCCGATGGCGTCTCTACCACCGCTATTGTGGACATTGGCGCTCGATTTTTGGTCATTTTTGGACATTACATACTGATTGATATCGTTGTCGTAGTCGTTACCCTTGCCGGCCGATGTCATAATCGATGATAACTTCTGGATTCGACGCAACGTGTAATGGCTAACCCGGAAGACACTGGTTATCCTCTCGAAGATAACATCGTCGTAGACCGAACGGGCCGTATTGGTCCGATTGAACGGCTCTTCAATCGACAACAGTTTCCAATGGCCGTAAGCATTCTCATCGGATTTGTATCGCTGGACAATGTGTTTCGGCAATACGTGAGCCAATCGGACACTAATAGCGTCTTTTGTATAGCAAAAGTTGTACGAATAGTACTCAAGAAATCCAAGCAACAGGTGTTTCAATGATGAAGTGTTGTCTGATTTCCATTGTTTTGGTCGCCGATTGGCTGTCTGTCGGAGCGACTGGATGGTAGAATCAGTCCGATAGCGTCCGGCGTCCAATTGTTGGAGACATGGCAATACTGGCGGCGAACAGGCGTCTAAAATGATTAATATTTGGTTAGCTATTAGGCGAAAGAACAGGAGGACAGGTATACTGACATTGAAGATAATGGATGACCATYAGCACCAGGCTATAGCTCGAGATGGACTTGTTGTAGGCGTCGTTGATGCCATTATCCCGGGCCCAGGCCTTGACCACCATTGCCAGTGGCTGTACTCTCCAATCCACTGTATTAAATAGGAGGGAGGGAGGAKAGGGTGGGTTAGAACAGSAAACCGGTATATCACCAGTGACTGACACTGGRTGGRTGTTTCAATACACGCTCATACATTTGGTATAGTCGTGGATCAGTTGGGTGTTRCGTATGGATACCAGTTTGTTGACGTTAAGTGTCACTTCAATACCCGATATACGGTCCACAAACTTAAGGATCGGTACTTTAGCCATAATTATTTGCATATTGAGTACGAAATCTATTTAAAAAAAAAAATATAAAGAAAATTATAAATCAATGGATAGGGATGTTATTCAATGGATTACTGTAGCCTTTGAGAACTTCCCGCACTTTTTCCAGTACAGGAAGCGACGGATCATTGGACGAGCCGTTCACTGAATTAGTGTCTTCAATRCTGTCGATGGTTTGATTCAATTTGGATGACTCGTCCTCTTTGTCCTCCTTTTCTTCGTTGGAGATTTCCTTTATCTTCTCCTCCTTTATGGACGTATTGAGCTCAGTTACCTCCTTTACCACATCCTCCTCTTCCTCCTCCACCACCACATCCACGTCCTTAATCTTTGGCTCTTTTTTGACTTCCCCGTCAGTCTCTTTTGTTTCCTCATCGACGACCACTTTAGGATTGGCTTCYTCTTCTTCATGACCAGACTTTTCGGGACTTTTTGGCGTTTCTACCGTTTTTGCTGTCGTATCCAACGAATCAGTCGTCGGTTTATGGTCGTCATCGGTCGTCGCGGCTGAACCGCTAGCAGTTGCTGCTGGATTCGCTTCGTTCATTACCAAACAGATATCGACGTCAGACTTATTGCTGGCCAGACCRTTGTTTGTCGAGCCGACGATAAACAATTGCACGTCTACGACAACATCGTGGGTCATACAATAATAACAATCTAGTCATACAAACCACATCCACGGGTGGATATTCATTACATACCATAATTGGCAAAGTTTTGAGTCAATATCTTTTGGAGKGCGTCTCGCAAACGRTTCTTACGGGTCAACAGATCAGTCGTTTGACAGTTGTCTTCAAAGAACTTCCAGACCTCGCGCGACAACTGGACAATTGGTGGAAAGTTATGTWWAAAAAAGGATAGGGATTTAAATATATTATATATACTATACTATACCCGATCTCTTTTGTTGGGCATATTTCTAGAAGCCATAGTAGTTATATAATAATATASCAGTCAAATCAGTTTTATAATTAATACTACTAATTATTAATTATACTGTATTAGCGATATCACAAATTGAAGAAAAAAAAGAAATATTTATTTTTTAATAATAATATTAATAAACTGATTGACTATAAAATAATGTCTTTAACTCCGTTAAAGTGGTCTCTAAAGTGTCTGTCAAACAAATGAGGACTACTATATGATTGTAGTCTATATTTATAATATTAAWTTTTTTGTTAAATGTGTGAAAATTTTTTAATTRATATAACTTAAACACTAGTCAAAACACTAGAGTTTATATTTTTTATTTGCAATTTATTAATAGTTAAAAGTGATTTTTTATATATATATTATTAAGTTATAAATTATTACTAAATACTAAAAATTAATTAGACTATTAGTAAATCTTAATAACAAAMCAGTAATTATTATATATATATATATTTTAATAATATTAACCAAATGGTAATTTTTAAACTTAAATTTTATATTAATGTTATAAAGAAAATAAATATAACTTTTAATACGCAAAAATAATGATAGTTGATAATTTTTTTAAAAAATAAAACAATTTTATTTTCATATTTAAATAATATATAACATATAATTACTAAATATTAATTATTAAGACATATATTATTTTTTTTAATTATTAGCAAATAATTTTATTTATAACTACTCAATACAAATTATATACAATRCTCATTTACAGTATATATTGGATATTATTTTAATAAAAATTTTCACTTATTAATAATAAATTTTAMKTTAGATATAGTGTATATTAAARGTTAAAWTTTTTCTAATTTTATTTAAAATCTAAAACTTAAATATTTGTCAAAAACAAATACATATTTTTTTAAATATTGAATTCRAGATGAATTTAAATATTTATATATGATATCTGTATTGTATGATTCTGTACATTGAATTCATATAATATCTAATAAATAAATAAAATAATATAAAATTATAAATTGTTATCAAATTAATATTTTTTACAATTATTTTAAATATATAAAGTAATAGCTTAAACATTAATTAATAAATGTTTTGTTGCAAACAATTTTAATTTGATTTAATCATAAATTCAAAAGAAATTTAATTTAAATTTAATTTTTGTTTTTAGATTTTTACAGCTTATAATTATTTAGTATATAATTGATATTAGATTATAAATATTATTTATATATTAATATTTTTTTGTTCTAATATACGAGGACATGGATGTAAKCACTGGGTGAAAATGAATTTCATATTGTAAAACATAAATAATTAAATATCATTTTTTTATCTATATTGATTGAAAATAAATTCAATAACAATAATAATATAGTATATTTCAATTGAATTAACCCGAATATATTATATACAATATATGATATATATATATATATATATATATATATATATATATATATATATCATTAATTTAATTATCAATAACTATTATATTTATAAAGCAAAAAAAACTAAACAGTTTTATTTCGTATAAAAAATAAATATCTATTACTTAATACTATTGGCATCGAAACAACTAAAATAACAAAAAAAATAAAATACAAAAATAATCTAGATTCAATTAAGATAATAATTAATTGATAGACAGTTGATAATATATATATATATATATATATAGATTGTATAGTATATGAGATGATAAATGTGATATCTATACTATCATTATATACAATAGTACAGTATATCGATAGCAACAACACATAAAAAACAAAATCTTAGTGTGACATAACTGTGCTGTTATTTTTTTGTATGCTATGTTTGGTGTGTGTGTGTGTGTGTGTGTGTGTGTGTGTGTGTGTGTTTGTGTATTAAGGATACGATATGGGAAATGATTTTTTGATGATAACACAACTTTCCATTGGATTTGCTAAATACAGTAGAAGTTTACTGTAGACAAAAAAACATAATAATAATAATAATAATAATATAATATTAGACGGGTATGTTAGTGATGGGGGTATACACTAACAGGAAGGAATGGGAGGGGGGTATTAACTATTGAATTATTGGTAATCGAATTATATTGAATGACCCTGTTTTTTAATACATTTTATTACACTATATATTGAAATATATATACTGTATATATATATATATATTTATATATGAATTATGATATTATATAGTCTACACTATATATATATATATATACCGTACTGTACACTGTATAGAATTTAGACTATAAATATAGGTTATATCGTATAGATTTTTATTTTAGTTTCAATAAATTACAATGTATTTATTACAGTAATTATTATTGAATACAACAATAGTATTTTATACGTATAGTTATTTTTATATATACAATACAATGATATACTATATTGATTATGTACTGAGAGTGAAATGCTTTTACATATAGTATTTATATATGCATTGATTTTTTTATTATTTCTCTTTAGGTATAGTAATGATATTTATATACAGTATTATTTTAGATATTTATTAATACTATATTATAATAGACTTAATGATAATTTTTCTAAAATTATATTTGGTTTGAATGAGAAATATATTATATATATATATATATATATACCAGTATATAACTGATATTAATATATTAAATATCATTTAACGATCAATAAGATATATAATGAAATAAATTATTAAATTATCGTAAGTAATAAAAAAAATTATTATTTTTTAAATTGTAGATGTTTTTTTATGATGATATATAAATGTTAAATATTTTTTTATTTAGGTAATCATACTGTATGTATATAGAAAACTATATGTTTACACAAAATATTTATCACTTTAAGTAAATGATAGTATATTTTCTCATTTTTAAAAAGTACTAAATAAACGGTTGTAAATATTTTCACAAAAAAATGATAACATTATTGTCAAAATTTATAGGCTATAAATTATAGGCCTATAAATATACTGTATTTATTTATTTATTTACAAATAGCTTATTGTCTGCCCCCTCCCCCCCACCTCATCTTACCTCACATTTTTTGCCAATAAAAACACCATATTTAAGTCCAATAAAAAGCATACAAACAAACATACAAACATAGACACACACACACACACACACACACACACACACACACACACACACACACACACACACACACACACACACATACATACATACATACATACATACATATAAATTTATATACAGTACATACTGTATATACATGCACACTTGGGGTTATTTATTGGGTGCGATAAATATTGTCATTTTAATGGGGCAATGTCATTTATAGATAAAGTAAAAAATAAACATATACTACAATTTGAAATAAATTTTTATTATATATTTAAGTGTTAGTAAAATCAGAGTTTTATTATTATTATTACGATTATTATTATTGTCAATAATGTTTAAGTGAATTGAATACTATGAGAGATATATATAAAAAAAAGTTTAATTTATTTATTTATTAAATTAAGATTTATAGAATATTACAGAAAAAAATAAATATTTATAAAAGAAATATTTAGTTTTATTTATAAATAATATTATAGATATAGTTAAATATTTGACAAATAATATTAAATAGTAAATAATAATATTTATATATTAAATAATAATAAAATCAAAATTATTGTTAATACAAAATTTAATAAAATTTTTCAACATTTGAATTAATAAAATAAAACTTTTGAAAATAAAATTTAAAACCTATATAAATGAATAAACTAAATTAACATTTATTACAGACTATAAATAAATTTAGTCAACATGAATAGATTTTTTTTTAATTATAAACTTTATTGAATTATTTTAATTTATTAAAAAATTTATTTTTAATAATAATAAAGATAATAATAATAATAATAATAGCAATAATTTATTTGTGACAAACTTTATTTCAATAATAAATAAAAAGAGATTTATAATAATATTATGTAATAATGAAATTTCAAAAAAGTTTTAAATATATATATATAATATAAATAATTTATATATATTTGTTTTATAATAAGTCATTTTTTGTAAAATAATACAATTAGATTTGAATTATTTTATATTAATTTTTAAAAATATTATTATCATTAATTAATAATTATTGCACATTATCATGGAAGCATATTTCATCAAGTGAGTTTTGAATAATAAATAAATTAATATTGAAATTACTTATCAATTAACATATATATTTTTATATAATCAATATGTATTTATAAATATATTTAATTAAAAAACAATTAATTGTTTGTTTTTCAACACAAAAAAATATTAAAAAGCAATTAATAATAATGATAAGTGTAGTAAATAGTAAACAACATAAAACAACATTGATAATAATAATAATAGGAACCGTATTATATACAATATAAATATGATACAATTAAATTGAAATAATAATAATAATAAATAACATATATTTTATGTTGTTATATAACAATTATTCAATTATTTTTTATCTAATTTAGATACTTTATTGTTATACCATGTTTACACATAAAGATATTATAAATATTGTATTGTTTTATTATTATTATTATTATTATTATCAATTAATTAAACATATACATAATATGTATAATACCCTGCATATTTCCAATAAATCATTATCACTCGATAAAACTAATAATAAAATTAATAAATAAATAAAATTTAATGTACTGTATGTGCTAATTAAATATAGTTTTTTTTAAAAAATTAATCAATTAGAGGATACATTTATCATGCTCATTTTTTAATAACCATAAAAATTTTAAAGTCTATTATTATTGATAATAATAATAATAATAATTAAAATTAAATAAACAGTGAGCAGTGGTGAGCGAGTGAGTGAGTAAGTGAGAGAGTAAGTGATTAATTGATTGATTGAAAAACAGTTTTTTTATTGAATTAAAAATTTTCATTTATTTAATATCAAGATTAGTTTAGATTAAATAATAATTAATTTGTTAATTTATTTCCATCATTGTTAGGATATTTATAGAGATTGTATATATTTATAATTTTTTATATATATATATATATAATAAAATTAAAATTGAATTATAAAATTAATGTTTTATGTGTTTTTTTCTCGAAAATTTGATATGAATCGTATATAATTTATATTTAATAATTATAATCATAATAATACTTATTATATTTTATATAAATATATATACGTCAATTGTTTTTTTACATTAATTTATAATTTATTATATTGCCATTGGTAATTTTATAATAAAATTTTGTTTGTGTGTGTGTATGCAATAAAT